AGTTAACATCTCTCCACCGTGGCATCCCACGGTGGCGAGAAGAAACGCCTGCTTGCTGTACTGCCCTCTACTGGCCCCGCTTTGCTCCTAGAGGTGCAATACCTTTTGTTAGAGCGGTAAAAGATAAAATAATCCGGCTTAAACTGACCGTTTTCACTAAAATGTAAAAAAAAACCCCAGACGATATCTCCTTGAAACGGGTTATTATTTGAAAGCGTTTTTTTATTAGGATAACTCTTTTAAACAAGATTACATCACCGGATTGGTCAAATCAACGGGATAAACACAAATATGTCCTTCAATGTAAAAATGCCCCCCCTCTGTCGTGATATGTGTTGCTATGCCTGATGAATTGTATATGATTGATTTCCTAGAATGCTGTATATTTAATAAACGATCGGCAACATGTTTGTGTGAAGATAAAATGTGTAGAGTAAAACCGTTTCACCATTCCGCTGGAGCGACGGCTCAAGCGACTGTCACGCTCGAGACGAGAGGAGTGCTCTTCATTGCGAGGCCCGCGGGCAACTCACGACCCCTCGTGACCTTTAAGTGCGGCTGCTAACGTGCGGCCCCCGACAATACGCAGCAAGTGAAAACACCCCCATCGTCATCGTCGTCGTCATCTTGCCGCTGTCAAACCCCAATGGTTTTAAATGCGTGGCGGCCCTCACGCTGATGATGTCTTATCAGCGAAAGTGCCTCCTCCCCCATCTGAAATTGAGTGAAGAACACTGGACTGAGCTGTGAACGGAGGGCACGTGCGTTAGTTTGCCGGCCATGGCTTATACACAGGTGGGCAAGTTAATAATTGACATTTATTTGTAAGGCGCCTTCCACTAATATCTCAAGAGGCCTATTTTTTATACTGGTAGGAACCTCCTGGTTACACCACCAGCCCACAGGGGATTATTGTGTCCGTCCGACCGTCGTGCATCCAAAAATGGGAGGGGTGGGGCTGGGTGGAGAGGGGAGGGTGGGGAGGGGCTGGGTGGGGAGGGAGGGGCTGGGTGGGGAGGGTGGGGAGGGGCTGGGTGGCGACGGTGGGGCTGAGTGGGGAGGGGAGGGGAGGGTGGGGAGGGGCTGGGTGTGGAGGGGCTGGGTGGGGAGGGTGGGGAGGGGCTGGGTGGGGAGGGGAGGGTGGGGAGGGGCTGGGTGGGGAGGATGGAGAGGGTGGGGCTGGGTGGGGGGTGGGAGGGGTGGGGCTGGGTGGGGAGGGCTGGGTGGGGAGGGTGGGGCTGGGTGGGGAGGGGCTGGTCACCCCGTGGTGCTCTTATAAAACTCAATGTTTAACCTACTCACGCCGGCTTGTGCCCGCCCTCACAGTCGGGCATATGTGCGGAATACACCACGTGGTGCCGCCGTTGACCCTGGCCGTTGACCGAGCAACACAACGTTCCTACCAGCTCCCTCCGCAGGAATGTGTTTATATCTGACCAGCGTTGTGAAGTGCAGTCAAATTAACCTCCCACCCCCTCCAAATTCCCAATACGGCGTTTGTCAAAAGAGTGGCAGGAAAAAACCTCACGGAGCACTGCAGTGGAGCATCATACTTAAGCGGCAAGCACGTTGTCAATCCCCTGCTGGATGATGGTCTCATCACGGTCATGCGGGTTTCAAGTTCATTGTTTAACCAGGTGAGACCTCAAGACACCGGGATTCGTCTCTCATTTGCAAGAGTGACTCGAGTTACACACATAATAATACTGTACAGACGACTTCGATGCACTTGTCCTGGGGAAGGTTTTCTTTATTTAAGAAGCCACGTGCTCACACTTGGACAGGTGGAGACCCCCACTGCAACAGGCCCCGAGTCTCCCACACATCTCCTTTATATACGGTCCGTGGCTACGCCCCCATTCCCGAACCTTCTCGCTGGTTCGAGACCGCTCGTTCTAGCAGCAGCCTCCACCGTCCTCTTCCGTCACCTGACCACGCTCCTACTTTCGATCATTCCCGTAGCCACCAGTCCACTCGTGCTGCAGGCTGACTCCCCTGTTATTACCTCCCGTGGCCACTAATCCATTCACACTGCAGGCTGACTCTGCTGTCATTACCTTCCGTAGCCACCAGTCCACTCGTACTGTAGGCTGACTCCCCTGTTATTACCTCCCGTGACCACTAGTCCATTCGTACTGCAGGCTGACTCCCCTGTCATTACCTCCCGTGGCCACTAGTCCACTCACACCTGAGGTTGACCCTACTGTCATTACAATACTATGTAAAGTTAAATCAGATTTTAATAAAGTACAGCAATGTAGCAAGGTGAAATCGGAGTAAAAACAAGAAATTGAAAATGTTTGTACCGTATTGGAGAAAGATAAATAGTTAAATAATACATTGTCTGAAGCGCAAGTTGGCTCGGGTTATGGAGGTTATTTGACCGGAGCTCACCTCTTTGGTTAATGCGGGTTGGTGAAGTCGGGGGAGCAAAGTCGGGGGAGTGTACAAGTGCAGTACAACAATGCACGCTTGCTACTTGCTACAATTCTCTCTGATGCCCAGATCGTAGCCCCCGTTGCCTATAGCACCTCTTGTCGCACATTCAAACACTATGCAGGCTTCATGCAGGTTTCTTTGGGTTAGATCGCGTAAATATACATTTTGTGTGGTTAATCCCGCCACCATGCGAAACAGCCAACTAGTAAGGTTTGTCACGTAAAGAGGACGTGCCAATTCGTTACTAGAGCAGCACACCGGTGTGTTTGGAGAGCAAATCAAGGCCGTAATGATAATAAATATTGGGGGGGACACATCCCCCCCAATATTCAAATATGCTCAAAATGTCCCCCCCAATATATTGCTATAAAATAGATATCTGTTTATATGATTGTGGTTATGGTTGTACTTTATTAATCCCTAATCTCTGCCATTGCATACAATGAAACAAGAAAAGGTAAAAATAATAAAAGCAGGGCAATGTAATACAATACACTATTAGACATTATTGTAAAAAATACATAAAAAGTCCATCCTATGTGTTAGTTAATTTTTAAATATTTTTGGCAGGAAAGGGCAGGAAATGAGTTTTCAAATTTAGATTTTTTTTCTGAGGGGGGACCCCCAGACCCCCTGGAAGATTTAGTCCTTTCCAATGTTGACTCCATGGCTACGGCCTTGGAGCAAATACACAACATTTACAATCTTGAGTACGACGTTTCGCCAGTTATTACAACCAGCATCATCAGGCGGCAGCCAGATTTGTGTTCTGCTTAGAGGTATGCTTGGATTCTTTATCCGCATGGGCAATACAGCGCAGGATAACACCAGGGAAACACTAAAAACTGAATAGTAGATGCTCTCAGCCTACCTGGGCTTCCAGTACTTTTGTCCACCGTGAGCATGTATTTCAACGCAAATTCTCGACCGCCTTTGCTTTTCTGGGGCCTCATCAGCAAATCTGTCACGCTAAATAGAACACTGCTGGTGTTCACCAGAGGATATTGGTAAGTGGGGGGGGTTCTCTCTCTCTCTCTCAAAACAGCGGTGCCGTCAGCAGTTGTAGTTTTTTTTATTTCTGTCATACGGGGTCGAGACCGTAAACTGCTAATGATCATCCACTGGGCGACGCGTACAGCACGTTCCGCCGTGCTGTTGAAGAGGCGACACGTTTCAAAAGAGTCATATACGTAAGAAAGTGACCTTGCCAACGTTTTACAGCGGGTCAAATTGAATGTTACAACTTCCCATATATATAAAGAAGGGGAAATCGTACCCAGCAGACTTTAGAGTGGGAGGGGAGTGCATGAAAGGCTAAGGGGCCGTCCATAAATGACGTCACGCGATTTTGGACTATTTTTGACCCCCCCCCCCTCGTCACACGGCGTCACAAAAAGTCAGACCCCCCTTAAAATATGACGTCACAAAGCTCTGCCCCCCCCCCCCAAAAAAAAAACACATGCTTCAAATCTATTTAAACTATTGTCATTTTAGGGCGTATTTATTGTGGAACTCCACTCGGATGTTGTAGGAGAAAACATTTATTAAAAAGTCTATTTAATTAAGTAGAACGTATTCTTAGCTCTTTCAGTAAAGTCACGTTGAAGGGAAACAATAAAATATATATAAAACAATAAAAATTCTCACGACGTTTCGACGGTTTGTGTTATGGTCGAAACGTCGTGAGAATTTTTATTGTTTTATATATATTTTATTATTTTATTGTTTCCCTTCAACGTGACTTTACCGAAAGAGCTAAGAATATGAATTACTGCAGTCACGAAAGCTTTAAATCAAAATTTAAGTAGAACGTGTTGTCTATATTTATTAAAAGTTGCGCATTTTGATGTGACGTCACATTTCTCAACCCCCCCCCAACCTCGTCACACATCCTCACAAATGTCTGACCCCCCCCCCCCCTAGGTGCGTGACGTCATTTATGGACGGCCCCTAACACTGACGACAAGTTGAACGATCTCTTGATGCGACCGCTCCTGTCACTGCTGCTGCTGCTGCGTTTGCAGCGGTGCACAAACAGCGAGCAAAACAAACTCAACGCGTTCGGCAACAGTGCCTACATAGGGAGACAAATATACATATATTGCACGTAACATGTGGCGTTTTCAGGAAATTGCCCGAAACGTCTAGTGTTACGTAGCATTCCCCATTAACGAGAATGGGGTGAATTTTGACTTAAAACTTTCGTGACTGCAGGAATTCATATTCTTTGGTTATTTCGGTAAAGTCACGGAGGTGGAAAAAAATCAGAATAAAAAATAAAGTTAATGAAAATATCACGACGTTTCGATCATCGCTCGTGTTGCGATCGAAACGTCGTGATAGTTTTATTCAGTTTATTTTTTCCCCACCTCCGTGACTTTACCGAAATAACCAAAGAATGAGAATGGGGGTTGAGTTCAGTCTTCTTTTTTTTAAAAACACACACACGCCCGACCACGTGGCTACGGTGCCTCCTAGCGCCGAATTTCCGCAATAGCCGGCACGTGGATGCGCGCACGCACTGCGACGTCGCTTTGGTCAGCCGGCCGTGAGTGAAGACAAGAGTGTGTGTGAGTAGGCGTTTACAGAGTCGCAGCGCCCATTGGCTGACCGTGCAAGCAGAGGCTACTGCTGCTGCTGACACTGCCGCTCCCGCTGCCCGGACACTCACCGACGCATCGATGCCCCCGGCGAGTTATTTCCAAGCAGCCCACGGAGCAAGATAGGGAGGAAGGAGCGAAGTCTCTCTGGAGTTCAGAGAGGCCTGGTGTCAAACCCGGAATTTAGGTAAGGCGTTCGTTTCGCTCTTTACAATCAAGCGCCAGGCTGTTGTAGAACCTATAAGAGCAGAATACTGTCAAACGTTCTCCTTTGGTTACCATTCTTACATCCTTGAAATCATATTTTTGTAAGATGAAATATACTAAGGTGTTAGCATGCATAGACGGACCATTCATTACACACTGTTTCCCAAGTTGTTGCTTCGGTGAACAGATGCATACAACAGCATTTTAAATACACATTCTACTTCTGATTTAAAGCTTTCGTGACTGCAGTGATTCATATTCTTGGTTCTTTCGGTAGTCACGTTGAAGGGAAACAATAAAATAATAAAATATATAGTGAGAATTTTATTGTTATATATTTTATTATTTTATTGTTTCCCTTCAACGTGACTTTACCGAAAGAACCAAGAATACACATTCTACTTCGTTAATGAAAAGTCAGATATCGACGTTTCGGGAGACTGGCCCGTGTAAACAATATAATTTATTAATAATGTACAGTGTTTTGTCAGTCTGCTGCTGGATGAAGGCTTGCCCAAGCCATGTTGTTCGCATGTTTTTTTTTAATTACCATACTTCACCTTGCTGGTCAGTTGTGCGGGTTGGCATTACTGGCCGCTGAGGTTAGTCGTGGCCCGGTGATTCGAACTCAGCGCCGCTGGGTTCATAGCTCAGCGCGCAGATACTGCACCACCTGCTCGCCTTACAAACAATGCTTATTCACTTAACGTCCATTGTCTGCATGATTTTAGTCGCCGCTAATTGCCGTGTGACAAATTTCCACGTGATAAGCCGCTTTGTTGAGCCATCATTTGTGGCCAGGAGCTCAGTGGGCCTTACCTGGTAACATGTTTTTAAAAAAATATTTTATATCCAGTAAAACAATTAGATGTATAGAGCGTTTGCATGTATTTGTAATGTTGGCAATACGCACAAGGTCACCAAGTAAACGTTTACCGCTGCCGGCGTGGTTCTGATTCGTGGATAAAATAGGAGTGCATAATGCCACGTCAGCTCAGTATCAAATCCAAATAAACTTAAGATAATTAACATAAGAAACCAATTAATCTCTAGCATGTCTACATCTCACAGTTCACATCTCCATGTGTAAATGTATCTTAAATTTCGATTTAAAGCTTTCGTGACTGCAATGATTCATCTTCTTTGGTTCTTTCGGTAAAGTCACGTAGAATGAGAATAAAATAATAAATTGATAAAGTAAAATAACACAATAATATTCTCAATTTATTATTTTATTCTCATTCTACGTGACTTTACCGAAAGAACCAAAGAAGATAAATGTATCTTATTTCAACCACATCGGTATCTCTTGTCATTACATCTTGTCATCTCTCTAGGATTCTATAAGTTAAAGGGGCACGACCAACACAACCCTTGTGTATGGACAGCTTGTGCATCTCCTCGTCATGCACTCATATTAGTGGCGTAACTCGCGCGGTACAGGCAGGAGGCGCCTTGCGCACCACCACCCTCCCGTGGCCAAAGCTACGAGTTGGGGGGGGAGGGGGGCCTTTGACAACCACCACAAGATTGGTGTTCTACAGCCCGTGTAGAAGAAAAACGAGACGCAGTTAAAACGCTGTTTCATAAACAGGTCCCTGCAGGGTGGGCTGGTAGGACAAGTCTCTGCGCTGTCTATTGCTGATTTTACACCCAACAGAACGAGTTTTTCGTTAAAGTATTGAAAGGGGACGGAGGGACGGACACATTAATCTATTGCAGGCTGGTACACTCAGTTTACAACTTCGTTCCTACCAGTATAATTCATAATATTCATAATAAAGGTGTTTGGGTTAGATCGCGTTATTTATAAATGTGTCGAACCCTCCACTACCCGACACGGCCAATCAGCAAAAAAGTGTCACGTTGACAAAATACAAATAGTTCACTACTTTAGCCCACTGGTGTGTTGAAGAGTGAATTCACAAAATGTACAGTTTGAGTACGACGTTTCGCTGGTAATTACATCCAGCATCATCGGGCAATTCGCCAGAATGGTAAAGCCCTCCCTTGCTCCCGGTCTTAAATAGAGCAGCAGGGTGACGTCATCATTTAACTAATTCAGGTGCAGTAATTATATAATCGATTGGTAATCAGTCAATGGTTATGATTAGTAATAAGTTGTAGATTAGTAATTAGTTGTAATGCGTGTTATTGCGATTATATGCTACGTTAGTAATCCGTTGATTAGTATTGTGTTCCCCTATAAGGAATTGTAATATGTATTATTTAATAATACGCTTCCATAATTTACGACGCACGTTTTATTTTCCGTTCAAATCAAATATTGGGGCCCCACCTTGACCGATTAGCGCACTCCCTTGGCTCACAATGAAGTTGCGCCTCTGACTGCTTCCTGTTTTATACAGGTTTGCCTTAGTTTGATTCACGTGATTTGCATTGTTCCGCGAAAGTAAATCTGAGAAGTTTCCACCACCTAATGCAAACAAACCTTCGGGTCACCTTTCTCAAGGTTCATAAACGTTACGCCGGTGCTGTCTTAAGTGGCACGTCAGCTCGTTTCGCTCCTCCCCCTGAGTAGCTCTCTCTTATAGACACACCCCCACACGCTCTCAGCAATCTCATCTCTCCAATGTCATGTTGTCTCTTATATTTCTATCTGAATACTTGTCGTATTATCACGCGCTCATATTTAGGTCCGCTGAATAACTCTCTCCCATCTCTCCTCTCACAAACAGTAGCAGGACTTGATATTTACGTCATTGTTTCGGTTTGGAATGTTTGGGGCCCAACAGCTCAGTACATCGGCAAAATCTGGCCCTTGACGCAAACACACATTTTGAGCCCCACGTGATTCAGTCTTTACCCAAACCACCTCGATGAACACAGCTTGGCAACACGGAACACGAGGAGTAGATTGCTGGTTGGGCCCCCCATTCTCGCTCCCAAAGACAAATACTCCCCGTGAATCCGTTCACAGATTGTTCGGCCAAGTGCCGTTAGCGAGCATAGAAGTACAGAACAACGATGGACATTTCCTATAACTGGCCACTAATGCCCACCACGTAGCCTCTCCGCACACCGCTGACGTCCTCTTCCATGCACGACGATCACCCCGTGCAAGCACCACCCACGTTCAGCATCGCTGATTACCTTTCTGAGACCTGATAAGATCGGGTGCATTCAGAGAGCTTTGGTCACAGGCGTGACGGTGTTGCGTGCGGGTGATCTATTTTAACTGTTGGGGCAAGTGCTGTTAGCGAGCACCTATGAAGGCCGACACTGCACACGAGGGGGTGGGTGGCCAACACCACGCCCGGCCGCCTTTGTCTCCCCAGTGGCGATGTTTGCACGCCGCACCAGGGACTCATTTGAGGCAGAGTCGACCTAGGGAAGACCCAGGACTGGTTCAGATAATCGTCACAGGTGTTGGCCGTGAGCGGGACTCGAACTTGGGTGAGCGGGACTCGAACTTGGGTGAGCGGGTTCGTAGCGCAGCGTAGCGCTAACCACGGTGGCAAGATGTTAATTCGAACCCAGTATATTTGGAGTTTGTATGTCTCGCTCCCCGTGGTCACGTGGATTTTTTTCCGGGTCCTCCGGGTTTTCCCTCCACATTTAGAACAACATCACGCGTTGAGAGTATTTGGCCGCTAGACATTTCCACGTGATAAGTCCACTTCGTTGAGCCATCACTTTTGGCCAGGTCGTCTCTGGAAAAGAGTTATGCAGCTCAGTGGTTCTTACCTGGTAAAATACCAAAATAGTTTAAATAGTTATATATATTCTTGGTTCTTTCGGTAAAGTCACGTTGAAGGGAAACAATAAAATAATAAAGTATATATAAAACAATACAATTCTCACTGTTTGTGTTACAGTCGAAACGTCGTGAGAATTGTATTGTTTATAAATATTTTATTATTTTATTGTTTCCCTTCAACGTGACTTTACCGAAAGAACCAAGAATATGAATTACTGCAGTCACGAAAGCTTAAAATCAAAGTTTAAATATTTGTTTATACCCAACTTTCTCACACTCCATGCAAAGCAGTCTTGTTTTTTTCACCCGTAACTCATTCTTCAAACATCACTAACATCGCTGGTCGCCCGTGTCAGAACAAACTGGATAATCTCAGCTGCTTGCCCTTCCTTGCGTGCACACAAGAGTACAATACAAATACAGTCGCATAAAGCACTGGGATTCACCTCTTGCCAAAATCAAAAGTACAGATCAACTGAATTATTTAATATAGATGGTGTCCCATCAAGGTGTCATCCATGATCAAAGCATTCAACAGTGCGGATGAGACGATCTGGTGGAACGAGTCCTCGGTATGAGTGGATTACATAAAACTCAATATTTTAAGAGGTTTGTTTGTTTCCTTCCAAAAAATGCACAACCTTATGAGCTGCAGGTATTTCTTAGTACAGCACCAAACTGTTGCAATACGATGCAGGCATGCAAAATACCCACCAGGTCACTCTTGTAAAGGTTGACTATCCTCGTTCCTTGAGTTGTGGTTCAAGAGATACGTAGATACACTTGGTATTGAAAAACAACACACGACCTCAGAACTCGTATACAGTTCGTGCAGGGGGTCAGACACCGTAAGAGAAAGATTACAAAGTCAGCGCACGTTGCTGATTTCGTGGGGAAATAAAGAGCTGCGTGTGAACATGGGCTTAATTGAAAACAGTCGAATGACAGCTGCTCCTCAACAACACAAAATTCACATGTCTACTTGCTTTGTTAAGGAACGCTTTTTTTTTGCATAGAGAACAAACACCAACACGACGAGTAAAGCATCACAGCGGCTATACAGGCCTTTCCCGGAATACAGGTGTGCACGGTTCGCATTCACCCACTCGTAATGCGGAACTCACTATAAATGCCACCTTTGGTAACTCATTAACAGTCCGGGTGTGGAAGGGACTGTATATATAAAGGTATGCTGGAGTACAGAGTTCTCTCTCTCTCCCTTTCGCTCGCTCTGTTGAACGTTTGCAGGGAGAATTACAGGCGAACATAGCCTCTGTCGATTTCGGTGAGGAAGTAAGTATTTGCCCAATTGATTGTGGTGAACGATAAGAACCGGAGTAGCTTTTGTTTGAGGTTAACTGCTGATTGCCACATAAAACTGATGCTTGCGGTTTTCACATTTTGCTGAGAGATCAATTCATAATTTCAGAATTTTTTTTTTTTTTATCAAAAAACATATGTGCTGGCGCATGCTTTCATAGGACGGAAAAGCTATTTAAGAGATATTTCACTTCCTTAAAAAGAAACCAGTTTTTCTGCTTAAAGGATATACATTTTCCTGTTCCTGTGAATACAATCTTCTTGTTAAACTGGACGGCACTGTCACGTAGAACGTGATAGTGACAGCGAACACAACCGCGACACTGTAAGTCAATCCAGTTTGTGTTTTTTCTTCCGTTTTCTTCACAGGAATCTAAACTGTGCGCTGAACCTTCAGATAAGCCGCCACTTAACAAGCACACGGACCCCTTCCCACCCATCCCACCCCCGTGAGTTCTTTCACCGGTGCCGCTTTATCGACCATGTCGGAAGACCAAATCAACGTCGCTGAGAACAAGCTGCTCTACGAAGAATTCAGGAGCGCGAGCACATTGAAGATCATTCGAAGTTCCTTTGCCAAACTCTGCAAACAACTGGGGGTAGATCATCAAGAAGAAAGCCCCTTTTATCCACGCTTTCGCGACGCCCTCCAGAACGTGTGGCAGGCCAAGGAGCTCTTTAAATATGTGGACAAACGGGCGAACATGGAAGAATACGAGCAGGGAAAGGCGTGTAGCGGAGTTAAGGTAAGTGCCGGGGCTGGTGGGGAAATTTGTTGATTGTTCGTTTTAGAGTGTAATGTTTGCTGTGGTGCTAACGGTTAGCACGCTGAACTTGCAATGCAGAGGCCGCCAGTGTGATTCGATTGTGGCGGTTGAAACAATGAAGGAGACGTTTCTTAATTCCCCATTCGCCGCTCTCCACCCAGCAGTTCAAATGGGTAATACCGCACTGTGCCGCTTAGAGCAGTATCTCTTAACCGTTGATAGTCTTGTATAATGTTAATACATACGTGTGTGCGATGATGATACAAAGTAAGTGATACGTGCCTGGGCTTAATTTTTCTTTCGATGATTTACCTTTAAAAAAAAATCTGGCCCTGTCTCACATTCCTAGTAAGGGCATCTCGCATCCCCAGGGGGTGCATGCACCACAGGTTAAGAACCACTGGGTTTAGAGTATTTAACTGCTATAGATTTCCACATGATGATAAGCCACTTAGTTGAGCTGTCGTTTGTGGCCAGGTCGCTTCTGAAAAAGAGTTATATAGCTCAATGGGCCTTACCTGGCAAAGTAAAATAAATAGTTGAATAGTTTCCAATATTTCTGGCTAGCTTGGAATCATAGGCCAAATGCCCTCTAGAGGGGCTCTCTGATAGCTCCCTCTAGTGGAGGATCTTCTGGCCGCAGTGGTATGAGCAAGCAATTGCAGGGCTGCACACTTTTCCTTTTACAGAGTAAACCTTCAGCTGCAGAACACATTCTGAGGCAATGCAATTCGTATTGGATGCACAACACAAGTCGTGATACCCACATTCCGAAATGCAGTCCCAGTATTGAGTTCTGATAATGAAAAAAACACACGATGCCTGGAATGTCACGTTGTAACGCTCGCTCGGTGTGTGCCGCCGTCGTTTCCTCATGCGGAAGCAGCAGGGTGATGCCACGTGGAGGAAATTGAGAGATTTTGGTTCGCGTTAGCAAGAAGTCTTGCAGTATCGGCTTGCCAATATCATCAGAATGACTTGCTCTGTAGTTGACCAATGCAATGGCTATGATAAAATCACCTGCAATGTACCTAATCTTGTGCGACCTCCGAAGCTAAGCAGGTTTGAGCCTGGATATTGCTTGGATGGGTGACCCACCATGAATATCAGGTTGTCATGGCCATAGGAGGCTCTGGGGATACGTGGAGGGGAGTAGAAGACAGTGCAGCCAAATTCATTGTTGTACAGTACCGTACTTAAATGCTGCATTGTCTATGCTCCCACACCTTCACAAACATCCACTGGCCCATTCTCGTGAAGTATGGTCAACTAACCCCCGTGACCCGCACGGCATGGGGAGGCCCTCATCCAGGGCGGTGACGCGGGACCCAGACGGGAGCGCGTTCGCCACTCGCTGCGGAGTTTCGGGGGGTTCGACTCAAGCAGGCTATCCTGGTTAATGCCGCGCGTGTGTTAACCGTACAATCAGTGCCACGTGCTTCATGGTCGACGTTCAATATCACGATGGCGTTGTTCGACAAGGGTTGGCCATTGTGTGCTGGCGTCATGGTCCAAACTCGAAAAATCACCTGCCGAGTCACTCAATTGGGATTGCGCGTCGCAGCATCTCCCCATGTTGGGAAACTGCTGCATACGATGTATTGTATGTTGAACTTCTTCAGCACCGTATGGAGCCAACCGTGCATTGCACCTTCATGATAGCCCTGCGCTGGAAGAATGCCGTGAACACCAAATTAAACAAATAATTATTATTCAGCAGTCGATTGACAAAAATCCCCACTCGTCTACCCTTGCCATGGAATGGAGGTAGCAAGCTATATTATTGATGTCAGGTGCTCAACAGGATTTCGGCCTGATAGACTGATTTACTGGCAGGGCTGGGTGGTGGAGTATACACATCCAAAGCTTGACAGGCAGAAAGTGCTTAATTTCAAATAGGCAGAAAGCACAATACTGTACATTGCCCAGAGCTAAAAACCTGTTACCTTGAAGCACAACATCGTTAATGATGACTCGCCTGCCGTAAAACTTTTCAACGTGAACTACAGTCTTGATTTGAAGCTTTCGTGACTGCAGGAATCGATACTCTACTCTTGACGACGATTGCTTGCTTTGCGATCGAAACGTCGTGATCTATTATTATTTTTCTTCTACCTACGTGACTTTACCGAAAGAACCAAAGAGTATGAACTGCAGCGTTCAACGCTTTTAAACAAGTGTGACGGTGCGGTGATACGACTGAGAGCACGCGTCCGCCTTGGAGATGGAACAATTGCATCGGATCATTTGTAGGTCCACGGGTGTATTTCTTCGTGATCGCAGGACCGTGAGAGATGGTAACGACTTGGGGAGGCAGTCGATCGCTTATGGTTGATGATTGTGGATTATATAATGCGTGGTTAGGAATATCGTACTATTTTTGTTTGCAGCAGCGCACTAATTTTCATCGATTCAAACAAAGCTTCCTGTACGTTTTCAGGAACTTGCAAATATTGCACCTGAAAAGAACGTGTTTTTAAACAACGGGAACAAACATTGTGTGCAAGCATTAGACGGCAACCCAACACGATGTCCAAATCGCTGTCAAATTTTGAAGTTGTGGCTTTGAAGGCAACAACACAAGTTACTATGCAACAGTTTTAAAAAAAAACAGAACAGTTTGTAAATTTCCATCCTTTAATAATTTACGGAGCACACTACTGTCACTTAAGAATGCTACCAACTTGCACAAAACGAATTAAAACAAACGAGTAATGTTGTTTATTATGATCGTAATCCCATTGTCTCAATTTCGGCATAATCGACGGCAACACTGTAGAGGCAGTGGATACATTTCTCTACCTGGGATCTGTACAGACCACTGAGGGACGATGAAGACTGGATGTCATGCACCGGATCGGCTTGGCCTCAGGAATCATGAACGGTCTGAACCGCATTTAGTCACAGAAACGTTTCGGTCTGGGCACCAAATTGAGAGGCTGCCAGCGCTGTGTTTTTGTCAGTTTTTCTGCATGGTGCGGAGGCCTGGACATTGCTCCAAGTTGATTTGGATTGGCTGCAATCCTTCCACACGCGGTGCCAAAGACTCCTTCTTCGCATCTGATGGTTCGACTTCATCAGAAAAGCCACCGTTAGCATCTGCGACCGGTCTCCTAAGCGATTGAGAGCTTAGTTGGAGGGAGACGGCCGTCAGCTCGTGGACAAGTCGTCGTCCCTCCATCTTGATGCGCAAACTGCAGGAAATTGCGCTCGTTTCAGTCGGCGGTCGACTTTGGCAGTGAGGACTGCGACCCTCAAAGGAATGGCGTTGACCCCGTGGTCGCCTCTCCCCCTTCCCCGTGACCCGTGGATCAAACGGATCACTCGAATTACCGGTGTATGGCAGCAAGAGTGGTTTAGGTGAACTCTGTCGCAAGAGGTCCTTCTCTGACGATGCGTGATGAATGAAGGAATTTATCTTTCTATTTGCCTACTATACACTTCCCTCCGGAGGTCATGACGGAATAATAAATGGTCACCTCCGCCTGTCAAGAATTTGATTTCCAAATGTTTTGCTTTTGTTGCGGCCTTCCTCAAATAACCTAATCAAATAAAGGTGTTAACACCTATGCATGTCACCTTCGTGTCACCTTTAGCAGTGGCGTGATCAAACAATTGCATTAAATACATTTTAAAGGTGTATGCTCTCGTTCACAACATTCCCCCATAATTATCAAAGCCAAATTCGCGAATGTGAAATTGACCCGCCGATAAGCGGCAACAAGTGCTGGCACATTGAGTTTGGAAGATCGTACTCCTTACACACAGTGTTTGCCACAGCATGAGCTGCAACACCTTGCTGATCTTAACAAGGAGCATCGACTGTCACGCAAACTCGGGTCATCCTCACAGCGGCTGTTGGTTACCCATCGAACAAAGACGGTCAACGTGTCACGCTCTAACAGATGCGCTTCTGCGGACGTCTGGAACGCTCTTCCTTCCGATTATGAGGAAGCTGCTGGGGTTATGCACTTTTAAATCTGAATCGAAAACTCGTTTCTTTAGAACTTATTTTTTGTTGTGTTTAGTTTGTTGTCCTTCACCCGCACCTCGTATTGGCACGGTTGGCTACGTACAGTGCCAGGGTTATCATTTGGTCTCTTCCTCTGACATGCGAGCTGGCCCCCACGTGTGTGCCTTAGCGTCACAGCTTACCGGGGGGCGCATCAGCAAAGCGCATTCGTGCAATGCGGGAGGAAATAAGCACACACACAGACGTGCAGCCCGCTTGTCAGTACTCTGCTGAATGTGAGGGCATCCACACACCACGCCATTCCGCGAGGGTTTTTTGACCATTCTTTTCCGCTGGACGGTATGGGATGGTTCAACATACGCACACTGTATATGGGGAGGCCTCCTCCAATGTGTCGTTGCGGTATTTATGTTGAACTTCTTTCGCACCGTACGTAGCCAACCGTGCTAATCGGAGGTGCGGGGTAAGGACAACAACAAACTGAACCATTACTCGAATTGTAAATGTTGTGGGTTTATTCTCCAAAACACCGACGAGGTGCTGTACTAGTGACGAATTTGCACGTTCTGTTTCCGTGACAACCCTTACTAATTGGCTGCGTCGGGTGGTGGCGAGTTTAACGACACATTTGTATTTACGCGATCTATCCCCCCCCCCCAAAAAAAAACAAAAACCCTTCATGGATAAAACCAGCAAACGCGCACCACTTGGAGACCTGCAGATAGGTGGGGGGTAGGTGGGGGGGGGGTTTACGGCCACCATCAACGAGCGCGGTGGCACGCGTCCGTGTGGCAGGGCCTGGTGGTGGGCGCCGGGCCGTGCGGCCTGCGCGTGGCCATCGAGCTGGCGCTGCTGGGCGCGCGCGTCGTCCTGGTGGAGAAGCGCGACGTCTTCGCCCGCAACAACGTCCTGCACCTGTGGCCCTTCACGGTCGACGACCTGGCTCAGCTCGGGGCCAAGAAGCTCTACAGGCAGTTCTGCACCGGCGGGCTGGACCACATCAGTACGTGCCCCCCACCCCAGCCCCCCCCCACTCCCGCCCCCCCTGTTTTTGCCCCACGTCTTTTCGACTCGGAGGGGCCCCCCTCCGCGCACGACAGATTGCGCGCTGACACCGGTTCGCCCCAGCCGAAACGGGCTGTGCTTCAAGGGGGCGCCGAATCGGTTTTTTGTTGTTGTTGTTGTTGTTTCCCACCGCGGAAGGCGGACCGCACGCAGTTGACGAGTTTGGGACGCGCAGCAGAGTTCAAGTGACGGGCGACGCGGTCGCGAGATGTTATCTCCCTCGCCTGGTATGCAGGACGTCGTGGGTTCGATCCCAACACTGACGCCTGCTGTATATTTGGAGTTTGCGTGTCTCTCTCCACGTGGTCGTGTGGGTTTTTCCTCTGGATCCTCCAGTTTTTCGCTCCACATTTATAATCCTGCGTTTTGGAGTATTTGGCTGCTATGAATTTCCATGTGATGAGCCACTTCATTGGGCTATCATTTTCGATGGCCAGGTCGCTTCTGAAAAAAATAGCTATATAGCTCGGTGGCCCTTACCTGGTAAAATATTAAATATTTATTTTCACCATACCGTGTGTGGATATTTTTGTTTAGTTTTTAATTGGCGGGTGACACGCAATTGACGGGTCGTTTGCCTTGCCCCTGGCCCTTGGCCCCTAGCCAAATATACATGTAAAAATATATATGATGCCAATATGGGTTTTCCAGACCATTCCTGGGCTACATCCTGAAGCGTGTTATCAGAACGCCAATTGGATATAACGCGATGTAATGTATTGGGGAACACATTTTTCACAACGCAGATGCGAATTGGATATAACGCAATTGAGTGAATGGAACTACGTCACGTGACTATGAATAGGCGGTTGTGCGGCTAACCTCAGTGTCGCATGCTTCTAGATGCTACCCAGGCGCCTCACTCTTTGTTCAGACTGCGTACGCGTCTCGCGCGTTGTCGCGGACTGTGCTATACCACTATATTATTATATTATTCATCACAACGCGATTTTTCCTTCATGCGGTATTCCTAAGGAACGCAGCTACCACGTTATAGGAGACCGGGCTGTACAGTGGTACTGTATAACAATTGGAAAGGCAGCTTGCGGGAAAGCCTACACCTCTTGATAAGAAAAAAAGTTTGCAGCGTGCAAATAAATAAACTGTATCTCGCAAAACACCTGCACGGGCTTAAAGGTAGTGCATGCTCAATAAGCAAGCCACACCTGTCTTTGGATTGCGGCTGTTGTTGCGTTTGCTTTCACATAGAGAGGCGTGCAGTGGACTATGTTAAAAACAGAAGTTGGCATTTTCAGTGTTCAGGGTTGGAGTTGGTGAATGGATATGTTGATGTTGATATATCCTGAAACACATGCCACTGTACAAGACACAAATCTTAGTTTGCAGCGTTGCAAATCCACCGCTCCAACATAGCTTGTGTCACCATGGGGAGGTTTAGATGAGTGGCAGAGTAGCTAAATTTAATTCTTATTATTTTCGTTCATGGCCAAGTTTCTGCAGCTCTTCCAGCCGGTCCACCAATAGTCATCACATTTGTATTACAATTGTTTTTTCATGTTTTGGTATAAATTGAACCTCAAAAGGTTTTTTTTTGTTATGATTTGTTTAGTTTTTTGTGTGCATTGTAATGCTCTGTGATGTAGTTTTCCCCTTGGAAAAGAGATTCGTTTGGAATTTATTTTGCACATTTAAAAAAAATCGGTATTTAGTTGCATCCATCAAAGACAGAATGATCCACCGTGTAGCCCTCAACAGACTGTTGGGGCAAGTCCCAACTATGTTCATGTCATCCGATTAGTCGACTAATTGAAGTGATAACCGGTCGCACAATCCACAACTTAAACCAGCGTTCTTCATTGCAAGGCCCACGGGCCACGGCTGGCCCCTGGTGGCCTTTAGTGTGGCCCCTGGTGGCCTTTAGTGTGGCCCCTGACGTGCGGCCCCCTACAACACACAACACGTGACACCCCCCCCACCCAATCATCGTACTGCTGTCAAACCCAAATGGTTTCAAATGTGTGGCGGCCCTCGCACTAAAGTCTTGTCGGCGAAAGTGGGCCCCCTTCTGAAAATTGGTGAAGAACACCGACTTAAATCATCGCGATATCCCAGCTCTGCTGAGTTTGCGACGTTTTTTTTAATTTTGTTTGTTTGTTAATTCTGCTCAATGTTTACAATAACAAACAAAAAAACACAAATGCTGGGATCCCTGGCAGGTATTCGACAGCTGCAGCTGATCCTGCTCAAGGTGTGCCTGATGGTGGGTGTCGAGGTCCATGTCAACACGGAGTTTGTCGGCCTCGTGGAGCCCACGGCAGACAAGGGTGAGTAGTAGGCCGCTCAGATATCCCATCTTTCTACAGGAAAGTCCAGCACTGTAATCGCTCCTTTTTTTATCAACGTTCAGACTCTTCACCGAGGTCAATGCATTTCTGCCAGCAGCAGCAGCAGTCCTCCACTGCTGGTGATCATCGTCGTCATCATCATCATCATATCCCGGATGCTGTGTCCATGTCATTCCTCTCCTCTTCTCGTACATAGGTCCATCATTCTCTTCCTCTGTTTCCCTCCACTCGTGTTGCTATTGCTCTCGCTAGAATCCAGTTTGGCAGCATTCTTTTAGCACGCCTAGACAATGGCACACTGCACATTACTCAATTTGTTTAGATAATTTTAATCCCTGCAGACTACAAACTTGTAAAACGTGTGTGCTCTATTTTTTTTTATCAAATTCTAAAGGTACAGTATTCAGTCAATGCATTTTCTCCCTACTTTCAGTTGTGCAAGTGTTTACATGTGACCTGTATTTTGCTAAGGGGTCGTCCATAAATGACGTCACGCACCTAGGGGGGTGTCAGACATTTGTGACGATGTGTGACGAGGGGGGGGGGGGGTTTGAGAAATGTGACGTCACATCAAAATGCGCAACTTTAAATAAATACAGACAACACTTTCTACTTAATTAAATATACTTTTTAATAAATGTTTTCTCCTACAACATCAGAGTGCAGCGTCACATTAAATACGCACTACAATGACAATAGTTTAAAGCGATTTGAAGCATGTTTTTTTTGGGGGGGATGGGGGGGGCAGAGCTTTGTGACGTCATATTTGAGGGGGGGGGTCTGACTTTTTGTGACGCCGTGTGACGAGGGGGGAGGGGGGCAAAAACCGTCCAAAATCGCGTGACGTCATTTATGGACGGCCCCTTAAATTATGAATACGCGTTTGTTTTAAAACTGTGCTTGGGTGTACAGTGTAAGCGAATACATGGCTTGGTGTTGTACATGTATAGCCTCTTTTTTGTCAATACACTCCCCATGCCGTGTGAGCAGTGAGGCTTCTTTGACAATGCTTCGCCATGCTGGTAACTGTGGCTCGGTGAAGTTGTGGTGAGGTACAGAACGGCAACAGATTTTGTTGCACAGGCCTCTAATGCCTACTGTGCTTATGGCAGTCGCCCATCTAAGTTCTATCCGGGCTCAACCTCGCTTACCTTCCGGGGTTTGATGGGTTCAGGAATATTCCCGTTTATTATTGTGCAATTAATGTTTACACAAATGGCATTGCATGGCTTAACGTTGAACGGGCTTTGCAGTAATATTAACGCTCTGCAAGATGTCATAAACGCACATTTTACAATAAGGGGGTATTTATCTGACAGCTGTTACCTGTAAATCTTTTATAGAGTCAACCAGAATTGAAACGAATAATTCGCACTTTCCCAAAAAAAATGTTGTTCTTTTAGAGCACGGATGGAGAGCTTCCTGGAAGCCTGACAATCGCGCTGTGTCTGCATATGAATTCGATGTCCTCATTGAAGCTGGAGGATCAGGTGGAAAAAGACTGGACGGTAAACATTCAACAAATAATATTATTGTTGAAAATATACTTTGTTTTAATTGTTGGTCTTGATACTACGATTTTTTTTAACTGCTGGTTTGTGGATTTGTCCATCGTCATCAGCAGCAGCCGTGATCAATCCACTGCTAGATGAGGGCCTCCCCAAGTTGACAGACTCTCTGATGGGGTTTTCCATGTCACAATCCAATATTTCTATTTTTTTTTTTATTGCACGTGAGAGGTGATGAACGATTTTAGACTATACATTTCGGACGCTGTAACTATCTGAGTAATTATTAGTGCAGTATAACCGTGAAGCTGCTATTTGCGTAGGGCTGTAAGTCAGATAAAAATAATGGGTTCACTTTTCTTGACCGAGGGAAAAATACTCGTGTGCCGAGACTGATTGAATTTTTCATCCATCCTGCAACCATTTGTGTCCGCATCAAACCACTAGTTCATTCTATAGTTTCTAAAACTATAGATAATTATCCTAAAAATGGCACACCATATACTATTCAGACGATTTAAAAATTTTAACCAGGTTCAGTCATTTACTTGGTTTCCAGCTTAAAAGTGGCAGCATAGAAGTACAGAACATCGATGGATATTTCCTGTACTGACCTCTAATGCCCACCACGTAGCCCTTGACGTCCTCTTCCATGCACGGCGATCACCCCGTGCAAGCACCACCCACGTTCAGCGTCGCTCATTATCTTTTTGAGACCTGATAAGATCGGGTGCATCCAGAGAACTTTGGTCACAGGCGTGATGATGTTGCGTGCGGGTTATCTATTTTAACTGTTGTGGCAAGTGCTGTTAGCGAGCACCTATAAAGGCCACGAGGGGGTGGGTGGCCAACACCACGCCCGGCCGCCTTTGTTTCCCCAGTGGCGGTGTTTGCACATCGCACCAGGTACTCATTTGAGGCCGAGTCGACCTAAGGAAGGGCCAGGACCGGTTCGGATAATCGTCACTGGTGCTGGCCATGAGTGGGAATCGAACCTGGGCCTCCTGGTTTGCAGAGCAGCGCGCTAACCGCTCCACTACTGCTCCCTATACGGGGGATCTTTATATTTTTTAAAATGTATTTAAAATTCTCATTTCCAGGGTTTAAAGTGAAGGAGTGCCGCGGACAGCTGGCTATCGGAGTCACGGCAAACTTCGTGAACCGCAAAACCAAAGAAGAGATCATGGCAAAGGAGATCAGCGGCGTGGCCTCCATTTACAACCAGAACTTATTCAACGAACTTCACGATGCCACCGGTGTGGTGCTGCGTGTGTCTTTATTTTATTCGTACAACCCTGATCACCCTCGACATGCCGCACGACCCGTTTAAAAGAATGGCGGGGGGTGGGGTGTGGGGGGCGAAACTTTTCCCTCACCCGGAGCCAAATTGGAATTTCGAATACCCTCGGCAGGCCACACATCAGCACGCTGCGCAGCGTTGTCCAACAACAACAATAATAGCAATAGCAATGCGATGAATAATTATTAGGGATCGCTTTTCCGGGTGACTGAGCACGACACTAAAGTTTTGAAACGCGGCGTTGTTTCCAGGTTCAAAATATTGCCCTCTAGCACCCGATTGGTGCGGCGATGACGCGTTCGGTGACAAGTCAATCGATTTTCGCAGGCCTCGTAACTTGTGGGCCGTATGCAGCCTGTGTGCACCGTTGGTTTCCACCACCCCCCGATGTAAATAAGCGCTTGTGACTGGGCATTTGCGGGTGCCCACTGACAATGGTTGTTAAAATCTTCCCCACGATTGTCCTGAGAGTGAGATTGCCCCATGTCTCCCTTCCGTGAATTTCTGCGCATATTTGTTTGGTGCATCAGTGCAGAATATTCAATGGTGGTAAATAATGTGGCGGCATTCATGATAGATCCGTATTTGATCTTGGCAGCAACCAGCCATCGCTGTTAGGCTATCTAGCCATGAAATACTAATACAGCCATTGCTATTATGCTTGATAAATATTACTGATAGCTGTGGGCACTTTGCAGGCTATACAAAAATCGAATGCATGCTATTGTCGAGTCTAAAACGTTGTTTATTTTATTAAAAACAATATTTTGCCTTGCAAAAAAAACCTGGAGATTCGGTGACGCTTCCTGAGGCACACGCGCGGCATTGCCGTCGCCATTTTGCGCGTAAATAATCGCGCACGTGTACATTTGTGCAGGCATCAGCTTGGAGAACATCGTCTATTACAAGGGCGACACTCACTACTTTGTGATGACGGCAAAGAAGCAGAGCCTGTTGGAAAAAAAGGTCTTGAAGCAGGTGAGCACGCCGACATTCACTCGAGTTGAAGCTTTGGGATAGTTTCTCATCGCACTTGAGCATCTCCCCCGCTGTACGCTCTTGACTGTGAGCCGCACCCAGGTTGCTACGGTGAGAAAACGTCGATACTGGCCGTAGGGCTCTGCAGCGCATTCACGTGGGCGGCCGGCGTAGCGTTACAGGATACCGAGCAGCAGCTACAAGAGTCACAGAGCCGCTATTGTTGCCATTGTTTTATTACTGACCATTTGTAGATTTATCGCTGGGCTAAAGTCTGTTAAACAATAACCGCTTGCGTTATCACGAACCATTAAAGTAGGAAATTGCTTTCTCATGCAGCAGTCCCCACGTAGGACTGTCTCGTCAGTACCTACGTGATATTCACTTCGTGATTTTCACCGCGTAGCCACGGGAAAGTTGGCAAGGTGCAGGTGCAGTAAAATACATTGTTTGCCTGTACTATGCTCTGACGTCTATGCTACCTGCCAGTATGGCGAAGGTAACGGTCAAATATTCACCTTGAGCCGCACAAAGCGGTGAGCACCTCATCCAGCAGTGGAAGACAAACGGGCTGTACATATGTAGTACATTCATATACAAATGTCCCCCTTTTAGTCTTAACAGACAGAAGTATCTGTTTGCGAGAACCGACGAAGACCGGCATGGCACATAAGGGGGTTGCTGGCACCACGCTGGCTGCATTTGTCTCCCAAGTGGCGATGTTTAAACACTGCACCAAGTACTCACTTGAAGCTGAGTCGAACTAGGGGAGGCCCACGACCGTTTCAAATAATCGTCACTGGCATTGGAATCAAACTCGGGTCGCCGGGTTCGTAGGGCAGCGCGCTAACCGCTACACTACCACTGCCCAAGATTCATATACAAAGACAAAGATCATCCGTAAAGCCTTAACGGACTTTTGGGGCAAGTGCTTTTAGCGAGCACACACACAAATGTCAAAGTTAACAGGGTGGTTGAGGTGGGGCGCCGAACAGCGCCGTGAACCCCAGTCGCCTGACCGTGGCTAATGTCAGTGGCGAGTGCTATATATCAGTCCTGCAGCTGGTTCCCCCTTTACCAGCGGTCTCTCACGACTAATACGGGGGTGCGACCTTTGTATGCGAATGCTCTGTGCATGGACAGCCCGTTTGTCATCCGCTGCTGGATGACGGGGTCACCGCTCTGTGCGGCTCGAGATGATTATTTGACCGTACCTTCACCATGCCCCTCAGTGTGGTTGGCGAAGGCAGGGAGCATAGATGTTGGAGCATGGTACGGGACAACAATGCACTTTACTGCGCTGCCCCCTTGCTGGCAGCGTATGCACTTTTAAATCCAGATTGAAAACTGATTTCTTTAGAACTGCGTTTTGTGTTTTAGTTTGTTGTCCGTCCCCCACGCCTCCGATTAGCGCAGTGGGCTCCGTACAATGCGAAAGAAGTTCATCGCACACACACGCACACGCACGCACACGGAAACCCGCGCTCGTCGCGCGGCCAAATCCGCAGGACCAGACGGACGCCGGCAAGCTGCTGTCGCCCGAGAACGTGAACAAGGAGGCGCTGCAGAAGTTCGCGCTCGAGGCCGCCAACTACTCGACGGACAACAGCCTGCCGCGGCTCGACTTCGCCAGGAACGGCCGGGGCGACGCCGACGTGGCCGTCTTCGACTTCACGTGCATGCGCCAGGGCGAGCACTCGTCCCTGGTGCGCGAGGTGCACGGCACGAGGTTGCTGCTGGGCCTCGTAGGGGACAGCTTGCTGGAGGTAAGCGGCGCGCGGCTGCCCACCAACGAGGAAGGGAAAGGTCCCCCGCGTGGGCACTCTAGACCAGACCGTTCGGGGGGTGGGTGGCCAACACCAGTAGCACCTAATGAAGGCCGGCGCGGAGCACGGACGGCTGCATGGCCAGCACCACACCCCGGCCGCCTGCGTCTCACCCAGTGGTGATGTTTACACACCGTGCCAGGTACTCATTTGAGGCCGAGTCAACCTAGGGAAGGCCCATGGCCGGTTCAGATAATCGTCACCGTTGATGGCTGTGAGCGGGAATTTAACTTTGCAGCGTGCTAACCACTACACTGCTGCCAAGCCGCATGCTGCCCACCACCGCCACTACCACCGCCAGCATCGTAATCGTCGCCCTGTGGCAGGGGACCCTCTCCGCCTTTCTTCCCCCCAATGTCCTGTGGCAGCTGTCCCTACGAGGGTAAAGGTTAACGCAGCAGTGACCGGCGAGGGGGCAGTTTGCCAACCGGGGGGTGGTGATGTTGCTCCGTGGCTTCTCAATGAAGCGACTTGCGACTGGTCCATGGAATTTCGTGCCACGAGGCCCGCACACGCTGCCTACCCTCTGTCAAATAACGGGATCTTTAAAGGTACACCGCAGAGCGGACACCACGCGCTTCACGGCCTAAGAATTGAACAGGGCGGCCGCTGACCTTGACCTGCGGTCACCCCCTGCTGTCCCACCGTACTTGACGCGCCGCCGTGCCACGCGAGATGGGCATCTCACGGAGACCCCCCCCTCCCCCCAGCCCCGTGTCTGTGCGCTCGCCTTCACGTTACCCTCGGAGGCGTCTTCTTGGTGCGGCCTTCCGAACGTGGGAGGGGGGACGGGGGGGTGCGACTTCACTTAACTTGGCACCCGTTTTTCGTTTCGACGTCGTTGCGCGCAGCCCTTCTGGCCACTGGGGACAGGCTGCGCCCGTGGGTTTCTGGCCGCGTTCGACATGGCCTGGATGGTGGTGGGCTGGGCAAAGGGGAAACCTCCTCTGAAGCTGCTGGCTGAAAGGCAAGGCGGCTTTTTTTTAGTTCATGTCATAACCCTTACGATTGTATTTCTGTTTTTTTTTGTGTGTGTGCTTTTTAAAATCCTAGATTTAAAAAAAATCAAATTTCTCTCGGAACTGCTTTTTTGTGTTTTTAGTTTGTTGTTCTTGCCCGAAAGAAGTTCAGCATGCATACTTAAAGATGATTGAATATAAATTAAACGTAACTATAAAGTTGTGTTGCAATTAGGAACTTTCCTTCAAGAAAACTTACATACATACCAACACGAATGTGTAATATGCAGGTAAATACAATAATGGTAATTATGATTTTTGTAAATATATATTTATGGTGCCATTCATGCAAATTTGCGTCTCAAAACGCCCTAGAATTAGTAACGCGCGTAAAATCAAGCTCTGTGGTCCTATACTCTGGGATGTTTGGCCAACTCCGTTCACGAGTATTTATAAACGTGGGAGCAATCCGGAGTACCCGGAGAAAACCCACATGCATGTGTACGTACGCACGTACGTACGTATGCATGTACAGCTCGGTTGACACCGACCTGGGAACCTCAGAATACAACTCATTTATACAATGGACTGAAACTATCTGAAATTGTAATTTTGTGACAAAGAGCGGCATTGCCAATGGAACGTGTACGTTTGTGTTTCTTCTGACGCCTTCAGGGAGAGCGTGTTCAAGCTGCTGGCACAGACATCTTCGAACAACATCAAATCAAGCACGAAGAACTTCAGCATCAACCCAGCGACGCGCTACACCAACCTCAACCTAAACGCCTGCCGACCTCAGCAGGTCAGAGGGATACGCATGCAAAAGTGCGCGATCGGTTCATCTCTTACTTGCTCGTCAATTACCCGGGGTTGCGGATCAAGGGCGCCCGTGCCCGTCTCTCTATCCTATTGGCTGCTCGGGACTCGCCGGGGGGGGGGTCGAGGGTCAGCGACTCGGATGTCCAGCTGACCGCACGACTCTCGGCAAGCAAGCCGATTGTTTGAAGATAAATGGCAATGGATAAATGAATAATATCTATTGTTCGTACACAATATTTTGTGTTTTTATTGTTAGTAAGCAATAAATATGAACTAAAGATATTTCTATAGCCTGAATTACATTTGCTTGGGTTAGATTGCGTAAATATAAATGTGTCGTTAAACCCGCCACCACCCGACACGGCCAATTAGTAAGGTTTGTCACATAAACAAAACATGCCAATTCGTTACTCGTTCAGTACACCGGTGTGTTAGAGAGTAAACCCACAACATGTGTCAGGTGGTGGTGGGTTTAACAACAGATTTATATTTCCGCGATCTAACCCAAAAACATCTTATGGATTCCAGATTTGAAGCTTTCGTGACTGCAAGGATCCATTCTCTTTGGTTCTATTCGGTAAAGTCACGTGACTTTACCGAATAGAACCAAAGAGTATACATCTTATGGATATTGGTCGAGAACGCCTACATGTTTAAATTGCTTGAAATTATTAGTGTTTTTGTATTATCATGTCGGATAATCGAGGGTTGACCTTGTCTCCACTTGTGGAGTCCATTTTTAAGATGTCTGCTTTTTAAGCGGGATTGAAATGTCTAGAAACACGAGGTCGGCCGTGATGGTGTGCAACAGTTTGCAATGTCCATTGCGTGCGATTTATCTCAACCAAATGTGATAACAAGTCGGTGCCGCGTGAGTCTGAGAGTGATCCGAATTGTTAACTTTTCGAAGCCGTCACGTGGCCCACCGGTAGCACTTTCGCCCCCTGTTGCGGGGGGGTTCGTGGTTCCAGTCCAGCGGCCGCCCTGGTTATTACGGCGGTGTGTGATTTACTGCAATAATACTCAGGATACTACGTGCCGTCTGCTTCATGGTGGACGTTAAAGATCCCTTGACGCCAGTCGCGAGAGTGGGCCACTTGGGCGCCGGTGTCAGGGTCAAAACATTTGACAAAAAATGTGTGAATATCCAACTGCAATTTACTCCATTGGAAATTATACACGTAGCAGTAGCAATCACTGCCTCCTACCGGCAGGCGAATGCTCCAGGTCACTCTGGCAAAAATGAGACTCTCTCCTGCTCTCTCGTTCTCGCCTGGTTCAAAAACGACATCAAACTTGAGAGTTTCCCGTTGTCTTTAGGTCGCTCCTCTGTACATCGGTCAGAAAAAACCGCAAGGCGCCGACAAGACACTGAAGAACACTGAAGAACCAATACCGGCCGAAAGCGGTGAGAAAAGTCTTCCACTGCCCTTTGTCGTCCACTTCTAGGTTAAGGCCTTCTTAGGCTGTATGGTTCCTGGGAGTTGTATGACCACACTTCATCTTGCTGGTCAGGTGCGGGTTGGTGAAGGTTGGGATTGTAAACGTGGGGGAATGGAAGTATATCGCCCACAAAGCAGTCCTGCGGCAGCCTGTAACACCAGTTATGCATGGTGGTCACCCATTCATTCTGGGCTCAAATCTGCTTAGCTTCTGAAATATGGCGAGATCGGGCGCATTATGGCCGATGTGACCTTCGGCTATTCATTTGTGCTTGTGCATTATCAAATTTTACAAATCACCTGGGCTAAGATTAGCTGCCACACGATTGCAAATATAAATTATCTGGGTTCTATTAATCCACTCGTAACTATACGGTTAAACCTCCAACTTACCGATTGATGCCCAGACACCTCAAACAACGCACCTTATATTCCACCACTCTTGTCCAAAACGTTTCGAGCAGCCCAGTTTGTTCTTGATCTCAAACCGGTAGCTTTTCACACCTGCTGCTTCCACTAAAAAAAATTCACGTCACATTCATTCACTTTTTTCAAATTTTCTTGCTGTGGTTTTCACACCTGATGATGATTGCTTGTGTTGCAGTCGAAACGTCGTGAGAATTGTATTGTTTTATGTTTTTATTATTTTATTGTTTCCCTTCTACGTGACTTTACCGAAAGAACCAAGAATATGAATCCCTGCAGTCACGAAAGCTTTAAATCAACATTCATTCCTTTCACGTCTGCCCCCCCCACCCGCTCCTCCCACCGTCCCAGTGTGCGACCCCGCGAGGCCAAAACCCGTGCCGGCTTTACGGCGCGAAAAGCTGATCAGGTGGTGCCAGGAGTGCACTCGCGGCTACCCGGGCGTGAACATCACGGACCTCACCACGTCCTGGCAGAACGGCCTTGCGCTCTGTGCCCTCATCCACAGGTTCTATCCCGACCTCATGTGAGTGCCGCCCGCTGTTTTGTTACAGAATATCCTCACGATTTACCGCCGATAATAAAGGTTTCTTGGGTTAGATCGCGTAAGTATAAATGTGTCGAAACCCTCCACCACCTGACATGGGCAATCAGTGAGGGTTTTGTCACGTAAACAAAACGTCGTCCTGCTGCTCTCTTTAAGACCGGATGCAGGTGGGTTGCTTCACTATTCTGGAAAATCGCCCGATGACGCTGGATGTAATCACCAGCGAAACGTCGTACTACTCCGATTGTAAATGTTGTGGATTTACTCTCCAACACCGGTGGGCTGAAGTAGTAACTAATTGGCGCGTTTTGTTTACGTGAGAAACCTTACTGGCTGTGTTGGGTGGTGGAGGGTTATGACACGTTCATACTTACGCAAGAGAGACACGCAAACCCCAAATATACAGCAGGCGTCAGGGTCGGGATCGAACCCATGACCTCCTGCATTCCTAGGCGAGATAGTTAACATCTCACCACCATGGCACCCAGGTGATGCAGCCTTTCCGTAGGCCCCACGTGGGAAGAAGGGTGGGTGCAGTGGTAACACTTGTGCCTCACAACAAGGACTGCCTGGGTTTTGATTCTCGACTCGGGGTTGCTTTTCTGTGTAGAGTTTTGCATGTCCTCTCCTTTGGAGGTTTCTCCAGATAAAAAAAAAACGAGCGTAATATCCCGCACCTCCGACTAGCGCGGTCGGCTACGCACGGTGCGACAGATAGTTCAACACGTACGCACACACGTGGGCTAAAAATCAGCGGCAATAAAAATAACACCCCCGTCCCCACGCCTCCCCCCGGCGGCGGCGACGGCCGCGTGCTTCTCTCCCGCAGCGAGTTCATCAAACTGGATGCGGAGAATGCCGTGGAGAACAACCGGCAGGCGTTCGAAGTGGCGGAGCGGGAGCTGGGCATTGCGCCCATCACCACGGCCGAGGAGATGGGGTGCCAGGACGGCGGGCCCGACCTGCTGGCCATGGTGGCGTACCTCACCCGCTTCTACAACCTGCTGGGCAATACCCCTCCGCCGACCGCAGGTCTCTTGAGCCCCACGCCCATCGCGGGCCCCTACACACCACCCGAGAGAAAGAAAAAAAACTTAACTCTTTTCCGTTCCGGGACATCTGTAAGCCACGGGGTGCGCGGTGTCTCGTTCGTTTTACTTAGAGGGGCGCAGTAACACCGTTGTTTTTATAGACATTGTACTCACCGCAGAGAACTGTAGCGACACGACCGCACTCTACCATAGCTGGCGCCAAACTGTGCCGCACGCGCTCCCGCGTGGCCTTGTGGCAGCGTCGGCACCGATAAAGTTGTTTTTCTGTCGGTTTTTCTTCCGGTTTCGTTTTTGATGATGTACACCTACGTACGTCACCGGAATGGAATCGGAAGAAAAAACGATGACATACACGCACGTCATCGGAACGGGAAAGAGTCAGATCATGTCCTGCGGCAGCCGGGTCCACATCTGAGCGAGGTGGAGTCGCGCAACGAGGACATTAAACGGAACGGTCGCTACTGTGCTTGTCGCGACGAACCGCCGAGCAGATCGATCGCGAGGAGAGGTTGTTTCTACTGCAAGAGACCGGTCGCTGGCAACCGGTTGCAACGATATCCGCATCTTAGCGATTCACTTGCACATACACCAATCAAGCTGCGCAACTGATCCCTCAGGTATGGACCACCGTTCTTCAACTCCGATCCTCGCGACCCACCGCAGTCTGCCTGCAGCCTTCTCCCCCGAGTTCAAAACTAATTTTCGTTGATGATGCGTAACACACCGTTATGAAAAGTTTGTGGGGAATAATAGCCATTTTCTATACTTTTGAGGCATAAGGATTTAGAAAATAACACTTACTACCCAGGAACAAAAATCGTGTTACATAGTGTATAATCGGTGTGTGAATAGTCCAGGAAGTGCCGACCTCATCGGCTGCAGTGTTAACGATTTGTGTTGTGCGTCACTGTACGTTGTTGTGCCGGCCGGTTGCCAGCCATCAGCAGGAAGCGCACCACTATCAAGTCCAACTCGCCGCTCGTCCTCGCCAGCAAGCTCAGGCAGACCTTTTACAAGAGGCGGAAGTCGTTGGTAAGGCTGGGTCCTCGTGACCAACATGGCACAACAACGCCGGTGGTAAAGTAGTCATCATTCCCAATGGTTGTCATCATCTTAGTCTGTGTACCTTATTAGTTTGGTTAGTTTGGTTTCGACGACTGAAGCAGTCAATGAAGCAGTTCACTCCAAAATTATTCAGTGTCGGTGTGAGGGGCACGCATTGCTCCTGCCCCATCCCAGACAAAAAATTATGATGTACATCCGATGAAAATGTTTGGTCATTCTCTCAGCGCCCTGCAGTCTCTGCAAACTTGACCAAGTTATCTCGATCTGCCGTCTTGATTCGTGAATTTTGTCTCTAACTTTCGATCGCGCTTTCATCTTCGGTCGGTAGTTGGATCCATCGCCAGCCATGATGATGTTCATCCACTCGCAGTCGCCGTTTACTTTCAAAAGAAAAAACTCACTCCGCCGACAAGCATTTTCATCACTGATTGCGTGAAAAAATTCACAGCAGAGCCCAACCAAACATTAATGGCGAGCTGTAAATAGCAGCTTCAGCCATGGAAATCTGTTACATGGGTGCACCTGCCCACCGTGGCAAAGCATTATGAGTCTGCGGTGTGGATTTTGAGTTGCTTGTTAGGCGTGCCATGTAAAAAGGTCAGATGCGTGAACATCCATTGAAAATGGCAGTAACGCCTTGCACAAATAGGATTGCACAAATAGGATTGCACAAATAGGATTGCTGGACAAAACGGAAAGCGCAAACCGTTTTGAACGTGGCAAAAAGCTTATGAAGAATACTGTGTGATTCGCAATACAATTATTAATAATACTTTGTGGTTTACAATATAATTCAATCAGCCTTCTGTAAAAGATAAAAGGTATATATGAAAAAAGCGACATTAACTTACATTTTAATGGCGTCTTCACTCTTCAAGAATTCGCTCATGTGCTTTGCGTGAAGCATCTCTGTGGTGTTGCAGCCACGTTAACCCACGACGGGACGGAGATGTTCGTAGTGCTGGGCCTGCCTCGGGCTGCCCACTGCCTCTGCGTAGCTGCTGCAGACGTGGCAGGACGCCATTTTCCCAGGACTGTGTTGAGGGGCGGTTAATTGGTCGGTGCAGATATGTGACGGTCGGATGTGTGGTAGTCGAATTTGTGGCGGTCGGATGTGTGGCGGTCGGTTATGTGGTGGTCGGATATGCGACGTTATACTACAGTGATCCATAAAATCCGCCATCACCCAACGCAGCCAATTAGCAAGGTTTGTCACGTAAACAAAACATGCTAGGTCGTTACTAGTACAGCACACCGGTGTGTTGGAGAGTAAACCCACAACATTTACAATCCGACGTTTCGCCACAAGTTACAACCAGCATCATCAGGCGACAGCCAGAGTTGTGAAGAAAACCTCCTGTTTCGGTTGGGTTGTGGCAGGTTTAACAACACATTTATATTTACGCGATCCTACCCAAAAAAAAACTCCATCATGGATAATATTGGTCGCAAAACCCTAAGTGTTAATGCTGCATTGAGTTTTCAATTACACTCATGCACTTTTAATGAGACCACCAGGGCAGCAGATTTGCCACGAACCAATGCATTACTTTTTTCCCCTCTGTTTTTTTTTACTGTTCGCGATCGGATGCAATTCGACAAAGCAACGGGGGTAGAGGGATATCGTGGAGATACTGAATTCCTATTCATGTTGTCTTTCCCAGGAGGGGTCACGGAGGAATGCCGTGAGGAAGCCGAAACGTGGCGAGGAAACTCCAAATAAGGTATGCAGGGGCGCAACTCCCAATTTCAAAGGGGGAGGTATGAATCTTGACTTAAAGCTTTCGTGACAGCAGGAATTCATACTTCTTGGGTCTTTCGGTAAAGTCACGTAGATAGGTTCAAAGAAAATAACAAAGGTATGCACGATAACACTGTGGGCCACTTTCCTTTCTCCAGACTCACTTTTACCGAAATAGCCACGGATGTTTTTAACCCATATCAGAATCAGAATCAGAAAGGGTTTTATTCGTCATGAAAGTTCGCACAGACAAGGAATTTACTTTGGCAGGAAGGTGCATACATTCAACATATAGGAATCTTAAATCTTAAATGAGTGGTATACAAGTCTAACTATACTAAAGGTACAAAGTCTAACTAACACTAAGGGGCTAAAGTATGTAAAATTTTGAATAAATATTGAATATAAAGTAGCTATAAGATACAATCTAAAAATACGAATAGGGTAACATAGTGTAAATATGGCAAGGTGTCATTTTGTAGATAAAATGTTAAAGTCAGTGTAAGCCCTTGGCCTTGTTGAAGAGGCCAGCAGCGGATGGGAAGAAACTGTTTTTGTGGCGTGAAGTTTTGGTCCTGATGGACCGCAGCCTTCTGCCGGAGGAGAGTAGCTGGAACAGAGAGTGTCCAGGGTGGGAGGAATCGGCCACACCGCCTTGCTAAACCTGTTCTTCGACTCCTTGAATCTGTCTCTATCTCCACTCCTAAACGCTTCCTCCTTCTCCAACCTCAACCTTCTGAGCTTTGCTGAGAACCAGGCCTTGTTGTTGTTGAAGTTCACCCTGGTACGTGTTGGAATACAGCAGTCCTCACAGAAGCTGATGTACGACGTCACAGCCTCTGTGAGTTCATCCAGACTATTGGTAGCAGTCGTGAACATATCCCAATCAGTACAGTCCAAGCACGCCCGCAAATCCTCCACAGCCTCACTGGTCCACTGTTTAGATGTCCTCACAGCAGGTTTACAGAGCTTTAGTTTCTGCCTGTATGCATGAATCAGGTGGACCATGGCATGGTCAGAGTGTCCCAGTGCTGCTTGGGGGATGGCGTGATAGGCTCTACTGACTGTAGTGTAGCTGTGATCCAGAGTGTTCCCTTCTCTGGTAGGGCATTTAATGAATTGTATGTATATGGGGAGTTCGTGGCTGAGATTACCTTTGTTAAAGTCGCCAAGTACGATAACCAGCGAATCTGGATTTGCTCACTCCACACAATCTGGTCGGCGAGCATGCGTTGGGCCTCTTTTACCTGAAGACCCGGAGGCAAGTAAACTCCGACCAAAATGAGCGACGCGAACTCACGAGGCGAGTAGGAAGGTTTACAGTTTATAAAAAAATCATTCAAGGAGCGAAGAACAATGTTGCAGAATCACTGTGACATCTACACACCAGCCACTGTTAATGTAAAAACAAATACCACCGCCTTTAGTCTTGCCGGAGAGTGCTATGTCATGATCCGATCTTACAAGATGGAATCCTGCCAGTTGTAGTGCAGTGTCCGGAATCAAATCACACAGCCATGTCTCCGTGAAGCACAAAACAGAAGATGAAAGAAAGTCTTTGTTTTTCGCCATCAGTAGCTGAAGTTCGTCCATTTTATTGCACAGTGAACGTACGTTGGAGAGGAAAAAGCTCGGAAGCACTGTTCGGATCCCGCGTCTGCGTAGCCGTACTAGAGCCCCCGACCGTTTACCCCTTGGGCGGCGTTTCGCTGCTTGAGCAAAGCCTAGCACGGCATTGACTAGAATGCCTACTAATTCTGCCACTGGAAGCAGCAAAGTGGGAAATAAATCCACAGGAGTTGTTTCCCTGATGTTTAAAAGTTCGTCTCTTGTTAGGGAACTCCGAAAATCTTGGCAAAACACAGACAAAACAAGATTAAACAGGGCGCACCAACCGGCTGAGGCTACCATCATCGGCGCCATCTTCTCACCAGCACGGGTGTGCTGAACATCAGGCCTCTCTCACCAGCACGGGTGATCAAGCAAAACAAGACAAAACCGGACATAACAGGGCACACCAACCGGCCGAGGCTACCATCATCGGCGCCAACTGCACCAATGGTGGTTGGCTCACTGCAATAATATGTAGGCTATAACTATATACAGGGTGCTTCAAAAACAGTTTACACTTACATTTTTATTTAAAGCTTTCGTGACTGCAGGGATTCATATTCTTGGTTCTTTCGGTAAAGTCACATAGAAGGGACACAATAAAATAATCCAAATGTAAAACAATAAAATTATCACGATGTTTCGACTGCAACACAAGCAATCATTATTAGGTGTGAAAACCACAGCAAGAAAATGTTCTTGCTGATGATGATTGCTTGTGTTGCAGTTGAAACGTCGTGATAATTTTATTGTTTTCTATTTTTATTATTTTATTGTTTCCCTTCTAAGTGTTTACACTTATATGGGACTATCGTTTTTAATGAAAATAGAACGGGATAATACACTGTAACATAAAGCACCAAGAATATGAATCCCTGCAGTCACGAAAGCTTTAAATAAAAATGTACACTGTAACATGATAACAAATGTATGTTAATAGCTTCAAAAAGTCAAAGAGTCTCCCACGTGTTCGCCATCGTTGTCAACAAGTGGCCTGGAATCTTCTCCACGTGGTCTCCAGAGCCCAGGAGGCAGCAGCACATTTCTTGTGGTTATTGTTGCAAATTCTCAGAAGTGTTAACATTTTTTTTAAGCGCCCTGTATATAATGTTAGTGGCACCATGTATAGGGTTTAGAGGAAGACAAGTCTCACAGTGACAGGTATTAATAAAACAATATTTAAAGGTAACAATATACACAATTAAGTTATCTTGCATTCATGCCGGCCCCATCAGTCTAGGATTGTCTCAAAAGGGGGTGGATAGCGCAACTTTAGGCTGCTCTATTGATACGATAGCCAGATGCGTTAATCGGGCTTGGTCCATAGGTTATTTTTAATGGACACATGTTCTTGTAAAAAAAAACAATTCTTAAAATTGTTTTTATTTTGTTGATTCGAGGCCCCCTTGTGGCCGGCCGGGGCCCCCTATGCGTCGCACAACGCTGCCACATATCCCCAACCATAGTTGCGCCCATGAAAGTACGGGTGGCGTTTTGATCGTTAGATCATTCGTAACGGCGCAGCCAAGAAATTAATTGATCCTCCACTGGTGGGAGCACGAGAGATTCCCTCTGGATTAAAGAGCCCCCCACCCCCTCCGATGGGGAGGGAATTCTATTGGAGTACACCGTTGAATGCCTTTAACACACCTTTTTGCTCAACAAAACTTTAAAGTTTTTACAAGACGTGGGGGCTAAGTTGTTATTTGAGGTCCTCGCAGCATTGTTGTTCTGTCCAATGTTCCGACATCCACGCTCCTGGCCTTCACCAACCCACCCTGACGAGCACGGCGTCGTACGGTCACGTAACCCGCCGCACGGCTCTCGGGATGCGGGCGATGCTCCCTCGTCGTCGCAGCAGTGGATTAACAAACAAAGGCGTCGCGCAGTGCACCCCTTTAACAAAGCGTGAACGTAATTCGCGCGACGCTACCGCAGGAGTCTAACCGTTCGCTCACGCACGCACGCACGCACTTGCGCTGTTGCATAAAGGATGCGATCGGCGCGGACACATCGAGCCAAACGAAGGACAACGTGAAACCTGTCCCAGCGATCCGTAAGAAGCTGCTGCCCACCTCCAGTCAGGCTGGAGCCACACAGGACGACGACTCTGGCGAGGTAGAGTGTCACACGCCACACCTCGCTGCCTGGCAACCATTGTTTATTGGGAGTTCTTTTGCAAATAAACATTTTTTTATATATATCAGGTAAGGCCTACAGAGCTATAGGTGGCTCTATTGCAGAAGCGACCTGGCTATCACAAATGATAGCTTGACAAAGTGGCTCATCATTTGGAATTTTTTAGCAGCCAAATACTCTAAAAGCATGATTCTAAATGTGGAGGGAAAAACCAGAGGACCCGGAGAAAAAAATCCATGCGAGCACGGGGAGAACATACAAATCTTCGGGCATCGGGATCGAATCCGCAACCTCCTGTATATCAGGCGAGGTAGTTAGCATCTCGTCACCATAGTGCCCCTATATCTGGTAGTCCAGCAGCATTTGCCTAACAACCCTGACTGCTGATGAGATGCCAAAGACTGGAAACTGGTCAGAGTTTGCGTGCTTAAACACGTGGTGCTTGCTGATATTGTTCTGGAAAGCCAATAGGCTGCTAGGCTGAGACCATTTTCATTTATGTGTGGAGGTAAAGAACAGAGTTCTGGCTATGTATGCTTTTATCCTTGCTGTGTGTATAGGGCAGATTGTGTTACTTGTAACATGTGCTTGTAGCTGGTATTGTGATTCGAATGGACATGGTGATGATGGTGTTGCTCTCAGCTGCAGCAAGGGAAACCAATTGTCAACGCGTAATTTAAGACCGTCTCTGAGCGGTTTGCATGTTGAAGCTCTTTCGCATCGTACGTTACCAGCCGTGCTAATTGGAGGTGCGGTGTAATCAATACACTGCACCAGCCATGCACGATTTTTTTTGTTTTGCCACTCTGTCGTCCGATTTAACGCGGTTGGCTACATATGGTGCGAAAATAAGTTCTGCACACGTTAGTCTCAGCCACTGGCCATCGCTCCTTTCCCGCGACGCGTTCTGCCCAAGCCCAATTCCTTTTCTTCGCAGTTCATCCGATGTCTCCAACCCGTCGATGTTCCCGAAGCGCATCTTTGGACAGAATCACTCGTTTCTTGATGACGTGTCTCCTAAAAAGCACCATGTGTACGCCCCTCGTTTTTATTTTACGGATGTTGCGTTGGCTTTGTAAACAGGTAAAAGTGCAGCCCAGAAAATTGCTTGCTCATGCCACTGCTGGTCAACATTCCTCCAATGTAGAGGGGAGCCCGAGGAAGCCCTTTGAGAGGGGATTTCGGCCCAGTCTTCCTCACTGGCCAGGCATCTGTAATGGCAGAAGTGGGAGTAACCCACACTTTACCCTCACTGCATGCAACCTACTGATCGAGAAACTGCGCTTGAACCCAATTACGCTGCCGGGTGGACAGAATGCTGCGGGAATGGTGGTGGTGGTGGTGGTGGGGGTACCGGGGATTTAAGAAACTTTTTTTACCATAATTTTAATCGCTCCTCCGGAGGATCGACTCGAACCGGCGACCTCCGGAGTGAGCGCAAGTCCAGTGCGCTGACCGTTAACACCGCGGCAAGCGTCACCCCCTTTGGCTTTGTGTTGAGAGAATAAGTTGACCCCTCTGTGTGGTGGGGGGGGGGGGTGGAACATAAAACAGCGCTCGGTGTATTTTTTAATTTAACTCGAGCCCTTTTTTTGCTCGGCCACCGCCACAGCCGCCACGGCCACCGCAGCAGCAGTCCTCCATCGAGCGGTCGTCATCGTCACAGAAGACGCTGAGGAGCGAGCCGCAGAGCAGCGTGTGCTTCTTCTGCGAGAAGCACGTGTACGTGCTGCAGCGACTGAGCGCCGACGGGAAGTTCTTCCACCGCGAGTGCTTCCGGTGCAGCCACTGCGAGGCCGCCCTGCACCTCGGAGACTTTGCCTTCGACGACGAGGAAGGTGACCGCTTGGACGCTTTCCCGCTATAGAGGTCCCCAGTCTCATCGCGGCATCTTCGCGGTTGATACCCCCCCCCCGCCCCCGGACGTGTTCCCTCCCTTGGCTTCCACTCCCTCGTTAGTCTCGGTCACCGGCGATCATCATCACCACTGGTCCTGTCGTGTCCTGCCCAAGCACACTTAATTTCATGACGCCAGTCTTTGAATCTCTTCATGGCCTTGCCCCCACCTCATCTTGCCTCTCTCATCTCCTTCCGTGTCCCCTCTCGTCCTCTTCGTTCCCAATCTTCTCTCTCTCTCTCTGTCCCTCCTCTCCCTGTACCAAATCACGTTTTTCGGTACTTCTCCCTCCTTGCCACCGCTCCAGTGGAATCAACTTCCTCTGTACATTAAGCAGTCCCCCTCCTTAACCTCCCTCCATTCCTCTCTTACAGCTCACATCTTCCCTATTGCCCATTCTCTTCCTCTTCCCTCACTCCTCCTCCACTCCTTCTCGTCCCCCCTCCCCCACCCTTTCGTGACCCCTAAGTACCTCTCTATGGCTGTCACGCATTGTTCAATCCTCGTATGCTCCTGCCAACGACATCACCAATCCATTCTGTCACCGTTTGGTAAGCCATGTCAAGCTCCTTGAGTGAAGGCAAATCTATAAATATAAATTAGATTAATATCTTGAATGATGTCTTTGACCTGCATATGTTCTCTAAACCACGTGTTTATATTTTTCTTTCTCTCAATGTAATTTCAAGCAAGCATCTATCCATGCTACTTTTCCATGCTTCTTAGCTTTTGTAAAAAAAAAAAACCTTAATAATTGTGAATGACCATGTTTCTGAACTATGCCGTATATCAGTATCCTCATCATCATCCGTACGATGTCTAACTGGCACGTGTTCTATAAATGTATCCTGCGCAGAATTCCTCTTGCTGGCATATCCACCAAAGCACCATCGTTATGAGCGCGTGTATTTCACTCGGCGTTCTCTTCATGCTTTAATTGCACAGCTGCGAGACGTGCGTTATCCCTGCTTGTCGTCCGCCTCTCTCTGTAACGTGCGGTCACAGTCGCGTTCATGAAGAAGATGAAATATAAATGAAACGTGAGCGCAAAGTTGCGTTGGAATTCGGGACTTGCCTTCAAGAAAACAATGGAAAATTAATGAAAGGCTTATCCATAACTTGGTGATAAGTAAAAAAAAAAAGCCAGTAATGATGAAAAAGCCTTTGCTACCGACGCGACTACATCGCGCACCATGCTCGCCCCTCCATCACCGACGGACGCCACTTTTGTCGCGGCATTTTTAACACGGCCAATTCAATACTGGGGGGACAAACGCGCGCTTGCAAAGTGTTACGGGAGCCGTGCCTGTGCATGGTTTTTATCCCTTGTTTAAACCTTCACATTGCCACAACTGAGCCTTACTTAATTGACTTAGTGCACGCGCTTTGTATCAGAAATTCGAAATGTTAGCGTTTCTTTCCAGACAAGTTTTTAACTTTTTGTTTTACCACAGAAAAGTTTTACTGCAAACCACATTTCTGCTTACGGAAGAGTCCTACCTTCAGCACAAGAAAACGAATGTTTGAGAAGATGCGGCAGACTGTGGTACTTTATTTTACATTTTTTGTAAGAATGTGTGGTGTGTGTGTGTGCGCACTGCAAGATACTGGCTTGGGCTGCAATGCCCAGCAACTTTCGAGTGAGAAAACTCGACATAGTTGACCGAACTTGAGTTGACCGAACTTGAGTTGACCGAACTTGTTATTTTTTGTGTAAGAGTGTTTGTGCACCGTGGTACGGTATTTAACATTTTTTTGTAAGAATGTGACGCATCTGTCCTGATGCTATCTTGAGTGGAATTTACAGTTTTAGGTCAATGCGGCCTTTAGTGGGCCCAACATTCACAATTCAGAGGGAAAAAGCTGAAATGCATCACATTGGAAATTTGCCCCATTTTGTCATTGACTTTTAGAGGCATCCACACATTTTTAGCAAAAGATCCGGAAAAAAAAACTGATTTCATGCGGCTGAAATAAATCACGTGCTTTCTAGAATCGTATTGGTTCCAGTAAGTATGTTGCCTGAATATACTTCTATTTTACTCATATACTTTAATTTCAAGGATATGAAAATGCTAGATGACCCAGCTGTGACATAATCAGTCTATAAAGGAGGAGGCTATATAATATTATTGTATTGCCTTCATGAAGTTATTATTGACTCGTCAATAACTTATTTTATGCAGAGATTGACAATGACATTAGAATTACAGTACACTCGGCTTTTAGAACTGTTTAATTTAACACATAGCCTTTGGCGATTCGCGTTATGATTCGTAATTTATTTTTTTACGATGCGACACGAAAATAAATTCTGAATCACGGTTTCCATTTGTTGACATGCTCCCTAACCAGGGAATGTTTTTTTTTGGGGGGGGGGTTTGTTTTTTTGTGCAATGCTTAATAAAAGAAAATATCTCTGGACAATAAGAAGAAAAAGGAATCTCAGAAGAGTGCAGAAGAGTCGAAAGAAAGATCAGAAGCAGAATTGAAAAAACCCAGCGAGCACAAACCACTTAAGGGAACGGTGAAGAACGAGGAAAACCTTCCGGCGGGAGGTGACCGCCTGACACCGCAACAATCTCGACCAGAAAAGGAAAATTCAGTGGGACAAGGATCCGTTGAGAAGACGACAAAAGCTGAGGAAAATGCAAAGCCAGGTATTTAATCATTGTTATTTGTGAACGCAAATTTGACGAACATACACTTCTGATTCTTTATTCGCAGAAGGTACGTTTTTGTTTTTCATCATTCGCATTCATTTTTAGTTGTCCCACACCGACCTGACACGAGCGTCACAGAGGAGCCACAGGGCAAGGACCAGGATACGGTGCCCGGTTCAGAAGATGCTGCCGATGATGTGGAACAACCAAAGAAGTCGAAGAGCATTTGGAAAAGATTTAAAGGAATGTTCAGGCGAGTGAATGTTAAGTTTAGCCTGTTTTGTCGTACCGCGCATTCTTCTGCACGGCGCCTGACGTTTCGCTCCATCTGCCGAGAGCTTCTTGAGGAAAATAAGCTTATTTGGTTCCTGGAGATGCTGTCAGCACGTGGAGTGACATGTCAGACATCATGCAGAACAAAATGTGGTACAACCAGAAAAAAAAACAGATCACAGAGTAATTTTAGAGCCATCTTACAAAATAAGAAGGTTTGTGGTTTAGATCCTGGTGTCTCTGGAAATGTAAAAAAATACGTAACTCACTCAAGCTTTTCCCTTCTTTTGCATTCCAGATCGAGATCGCTGACAGATCTCAGAGACCACCAAAAGATACATGATAAATCTGTTTGGTCTGATAATGAGCAAGATGACGAAGTGAATGGTGACAAAGGTAAAAAAATATGTCAAGAACGTAATAATAACGACTTGGAGGCTTGAGCCGGGCCATGTTATCCAATAAGCCACAATAGGCACTGTGCCTAGGGCATACGGAAACTAAAAGGGCCTACGAAAAAAAGTGTTTTTGTTTGTATGATAAAAAAATGTATCCAAGATATCTTCTTGAAAAAGTATGTTTTTATACAGCAAGGATAGGCACAGCGTTTCAAATTAAATCTGCTTTTCTGCGGCGCACAGCACGGACTAAGTAATGGACGTATCGGCAGTAACGACATCGGTCCAGCGGCTGGACGAAGTAAACAAGCGAGTGACCGCGGTAGTTGTAGTGAGATGGGCAGCAGCAGCAGCAGTACCAACTGCAGAAAGTACCGTAATCACTGAAGCCCTACGAAATAGAAGTGCCAAGGGCCTACAAGTACCTTTATCCGGCTCTGGGCATGCTGAACCAGACAGGCAGAGAGGCAGCAACGACCCGGCGTCGAAAATTACCAAACCTCTGCTGTGCTCTATATGTTAAGGTGTTGCAATTAACCGGAGTACCTGGAGAAAATCTACGCATGCGAGGGAGAAACACTCTATCCCATACAGAAGGAACAGGTGTAGTCCACATTTTTATGGTGCCGCACCCTCACTACCTCCACAGTGCTGGATTGCAGGCGTGCGTAGCAACCTCCCCGTATTATAATCTAATGTTGTTCATAACAAAACAAAAGGCTGTTTTTAAAAAAAAGCATTCACTCAACACTTTACAATATAATCTAGATTTGAAGTTTACCATACTCTTTGGTTCTTTCGGTAAAGTCACGTAGGTTTAAAAATAAAATGAATTAAATCACGACGTTTCGATTGCAACGCAAGCAATCGTCATCAGGTGGGAAAACCACAGCAATAATTGTTTTTACTGAAGTGGGAGAGAGAGTTGCCGTGGTAAGAGGTTATACAGGCAAGGAAGGGGTAGGAGCAAGGGGGGGGGGGGAGAGGGAGGGGTGGGGGGTAGGGGGAGGGAGAATGCTGCGTGGTGTAGTAGTACCCGGCAGAGCAGTTCAGGTTTTACCTGGTTAGGATTAAGGGAGGAATGCTGAAACGCGACATCATCACTCATTTGAGCTTACAGGTTGGCAACATGTAGCAACATCGCCCCCTACTGTGCAAAACATGGCAGTACCTTGCTGGGTAAACTAGCATTATAGTAAGAATAATTCCGAATGATGAATAGAATTGTTTTTCATCAAGTAAATGATGCTGATTTAAGACAGATACTGTATGTATGTGTACGCATATTTTTAACGCATGTGATCAGTTGTTTTCAGGAAAAAAAAGTGTTCTTGTGGGGAGTGGTGGTGCAGTGGTTGGCGCACTGCGTTACAACCCCGGCGACCCGAGTTCAATTCCTGTTTCAGACAAATAACAGCGTGAAAATCTGAACCGGTCCTGGGCCTCGCCTAGGCTGACTGAGCCTTAAATGAGCACCTGGTGCGGTGTTTAAACATCGGCACTGGGGAGACAAAGGCGGCCGGGCCTGGTGCTGGCCACCCACCCCCTCGTAAATGCACGTGCCGGCCTTAATAGGTGCTCACGAACAGCACTTTCTCCAACAGTCCGTTGAAGGCTATACGGGGGATCTTTGTCTTTGTGTTCTCAGAAGCTAAGCTTCCACGTCGGTTTTCAATGCGAGGGACACGGAAGAGGTTGCGTGTAAGTGACTATTTTGTAATAATATTCACATCTTACAGCGACACACTCACCGACAAAAAATATATAATTTGATTGTATTACTCATCTTGGCTCGAGCACACATGACTTGCTGTGGTTTAATAATTCTACCACCATTAAACTCGGCGATCCCTTGACGCCATCTATACAAATAGTTCACAATTAATGTGGCAAAGCTTGCGATAAAACTCTTCGTGCAGGAGCAAAGGCATTAAAAGGACAATTAATGTGTAGTCACAACCCCGTGCGTAGGTTTTCGCAGTTGTGGCCGTACAGCTCTCCGCTGCGTTTTCGGGTTGTGCTGTTCGGCGCGGTGTCCGACGTTTCGCTGCCCTCGCCTGGAGCCGCCTTCGGGAGCTAAGGCTCCCGGCAAGGTGGAGCAGCAGGCGGGCGGCACAACCCGAAAACACGGCGGGGCCACGTGGTCGTACCTCCCCCGGCAGCACAATTTCCATTCCATGTTGGCGCGTGCACAAAGTAACCTTTTGGCTCGGTACACCGTGCGTGCGTGCGTGTGCGTGCGCGTGTGCGTGTGCGTGTGCGTGCGTGTGCGGGTGCTCTCGCAGCGGACGCTGTCCCTCCCCTCTCGCCCCTCGGCGAGAAGACCGGAGGCGCACGTGGGATTATCGGGTGCGTCGTCGGGCAAGCCGCCTCAGTGGAAGGCGGTAGAAAGCGACAGTTGGGACGCACTGAAGCAGCCCGTGAAAGATGCCCAAGAGCCGCCGAAGGAAACGCGGCCTCCGAGAGAGGCGCCCAAATCGCCGGCGAGACCGACACCGCCTCCGAAACCGCCCCGCAATCCGGCGAGTCCCACGTCGCCCGGATTGAAAAAGATCCTGCAAGAAGCGGAGTCGAGAGACGCAGCCACGGGGAGGGACGCGGAGGGGCGCGCGAACGCCGTCCCAAGAAAGGTGGAGGTGGTCGTGGACGTCTGCAAGCCGCTGCGCATCCCCGCCGGCGGCTGCGGCAAGCAGGGGGAGAAGAACGGCGTGAAACTCGGGGCCGGGAAGTTGTTGGAGGAGGGCCGCTCCACGGGGGAGCAACTGGTGTGTCAGTCGGCGGTTGGGCTTCGCCGCAAAAATGCAACGAGGTCCAAGATTTTTCTCAACCAGGACAGCGCGGAGATGGATGCCCTCCTGCCTGACGTGAAAGAAGGTGACATACCGAGCGCTGCTTTTGAGCGTTTTTTTTTTGTTCCCCCTTCTAAACATGTCGCATTGTCGCGATGCCATCGATTCGACAATTGAAAGAGGTTTCCGAGGCTCACGATGCACGCGTTGAATTGCGAGCATGAGAATTGGTAATGAACGAAATGTGAAAATTGTATGCTCGTGTTACATTTAGGCTAATTGGGCAGACGTCACTGGAGACGAGGTGAGAAACCGTACCCACCAGATGGTAATGGGACGAAATATCGACTCTTGGTTTGAAACACGACCGTACGAGATTCAACTTTTAGTGAACCGATGGGTGCAATACATTATTTTTAACCCTTTAAACTTTGCCGAACTGCATTTTCGCAAGAGCGGCGCGATTAAACTTTCTCCGATGCTTAATGCGCACGCGGCTGTTGCTTGAATTTGCGCAGACGCTTCGTCTCTCTCGCATCAAGACAGCGACTCGATGGACACCTCCGAATCGGGCGACGAGGGAGAAGACAAGAGACCGCGGGTAAACGCCCCCCCCCCCCCCACCCCGTTCGTGGATTTGCGCAATCGTTTTGTTCTACACGGATGTATGCACGTTGCACGTACGTTGAACTTGTTTCACACCATGCATAGCCAACCGTGCTAATCGGAGGTGCGGAGAAAACCAATGGATGGCTTTCACGCCCCAGTGTTGTTATTGACAGCAGTGATGCTGGGTATTTGCGGGCACTTTTTGCAATCCCGTTTTTCGATTGTGCCGTTGTCCGTGTCACTGCCCCCCCCCCTGCCCCCCACTTCCCCCCCTCCCCGCCTCCTCCCCCCCGTTAGTGTCTGCACTGTGCCGTGTCACATGAATATGCATGGGGGCTGCTCCCATGTTCACGCTAAAACATTTATGGATTATTGGGGGCATTTAATCATGACTTTGGCGAGGTAAAAAAAAAAAATCGCACATGGCACTAATTTTAATTGAACAATGATTTTCAGCCGAAAAGCCGTAAAACGAAAATTACTGCCGGGAACTTACAGATTGCAAAAAAAAGTGGCCAAAATAAATGTAATGGCCTTTGGCTTAATAAAGTTAATATAGAGAGGCTGTGTTGATTGTTAATGGAAAATGTATTATAATGAAGTGGAATTGGTAGTTAAATGCTCTTTATCTCATTATTTCGCTATGAGACTAACAGTCCAGGCACAGCAAAGAGCCATCTTTACATTTCATTATTTTACAGAGCCCTTTGTGATGCCTATTTGTATTCTATACATTTCATCATCGTCAGCCGTGATCAATCCACTGCTGGACAAAGGCCTCCCGAAGTCATTACTGTCCTTCACAGTTACGCGATGCAATAATCCAACTATAGTACCGCCTTCACTCCTGTTGATTTCATCGCTGCATCTCCTCGGCTGTCATCCAATGCACACATAACATTCCTTGGCTGCCGCTAATCTTAAACATCGACCCATCATTCCTACCAGCAACGTGTCATGCTCAAGCCTACTTACTTTTCTCAGCATCTTGAATTACATCTTAAATCTGTTTGTTCTCTAATGCACATGTTCCTCTTTGTCTTCCGATGTAATTCCAAAAGACATCCACCAGGAAGGATGTGGCAATGATTGTTGTAGCGCTTCACTGTGGGAGATGGCGGTGGCTTGGGGGGGGGAGATCTTCATCCGACAGTGGATTGATTTGTGGCTGCTGACGATGACATCGATGATGAAGACCGGAATGCATGGGTGGCCAGTAAGATGTTTGCGCTGGATTTTCAGAGACGGCTGACGAAGATAGAGCGTCAGCAGCGGATGTCGGTGTTGCAGTCTGAGCGAAGCTCTCGGCATCACGAGCAACAGCGGCTTAACAAGGCGCAGGTGAATAACGCAGACGCTCGCCTCGAACGATTCGCCGTGCCGCTCATCTACTATTCACAGCCCTGAGTCGGTGGCGGGAAATTCCACATTGCTATGGCTACGATGAGTCTCGACATAGGCCCACCCACAACAGTGGTGTACCCCCCCCCCCCCAACAACCAGAATGTGAACTCGCAACCTTCCAAATGTGAGCTGCTGCTCACTCCATCGCTGAGCTACCTGGCTGGTTGAATGGGGTGCGTGCGTGTGTGCGTTGAACTTCTTTGGCACCGTACGTAGCCAACCGTGCTTAACCGGAGGTGCGGGACGCAGGACACGAAGCATAGGGGTCACAGATCGCATAACGCGGGGGGTGACATTTTAGAAGCACTAGATGGGACAGGCGCTGTTTGTACAGGCAGGAGATGCTGACTGTGTGGTTATAGTTGGTGGTGAAACCAAGGGCGGCGACGAGGCGTTCTCGCCGCTTGTTGCAGAGGTTCACGGTTCGAATGCAGCGCCCATCCTGCTTGTACGTATATGTATGTATTTTGAACTTCTGTCGCACCGTACGTAGCCAACCGTGCTAATCGGAGGTGGGGGGGGGGGGGGAAGGACAACGAGCTGAACACAAAAATCAGTTCTAAAATAAATGAGTTTTCCATCTAGATTTAAAAGTGCAAAGCTCCAGTAGCTACTGCGGGTTCCACAGTGGACGTCAAAAGATCCCGTGACGTCAATCGCAAGAGTGGGTCATTGTGGAAAATAACACAATTCATAGCGCTCGGTGAATCCACTGCTGGGGATGATGGCTTACCCAAACCGTGTCTTTCCTGTGCACTGTTTAACCAAACATCACGACACTGAATCAGCGCGGGTTGGTGAAGGGAGTTGGCCAGGACCAGTCCAGATATCATTTGCCACTGATGTTAGCCATGGAAGGGAATTGAACTCGCTGGGTCACTGCACAAATGCACGAATCGCTGCACCACTGCTCTACCCATCGAGCTTCATACATTTATGATGCGTTGTCTTTTTTCTAAAAGTTTTGTAGGATCTCGTTTTTTTTTATTTCACCTTTCGCAGATGATGCAGCGTGAACTTCAGGAGTTGGAGGAGAAGCAGAGGATCCTGGAGGAGGAGGGGGTGAAAATAGAGAAGAGATTAAGAGGAGGTGAGCACAATTACAATTGTAAATGTTGCGGGTTTACTGACTATCATATCGATAGCTAACCGGCACATTTTGTTCACGTGACAGACCTTGCTAATTGGCTGTGTCGGGTGGTGGTGGGTTAATCCTACACTTATATGTACGCGATCTAACTAAAAAAACTTTGTTACGAGTATGACATTTATTTTCATCTTATCTTTGCAATATGTATCACTGGCAGATATTACAACATGTGACAACGAGCAATTTTATACAGCTTAATTCACGCAAACTGCATATCTCATCGTACCGCGGTGCCGCATTCGCTAACGTCAAGGGTAGTGGTACTGACTGTGCGAGTTCTCTCTCCCCCTCTCCGTTGTCACACTCGCGGTGTCTGTGTGCGTGCAGATGGGGTGGACAATGACAACCCCGTGCTGATGCAGGAGTGGTTCAAGCTCATCGGTGAGAGGAACCTGCTGCTGCGCAAGGAGTCCGAGCTCGTGATCATGTGAGTTTGCCGTGCTGCCCGGTCAGTCGCTCGGGGGGGGGGGGGGGGGGGGGGGGTGTCACGTCTGCGTTGATTTTTCGCTTCAACGTGTGTACGGGGACCCCAAGAGGCGACCCGGTTTTTAGGTGGTAAATAAACACTCACCGGGTTCTAAAGGCTCCTCCTCGTGAGCGCGAATGGCGCGCTCCCCGACTCTCATTGGCCAGGAGCTATCGCAGATGGGGAGCCGACACAGAGCGAGATCTTAACTCCCTCGCCTGGCATGCAGGAGGTCGTGGGTTCGATTCCGACCCTGAAGCTTGTGTATTTGGAGTTTGCGTGTTTTCTGTCTCGCAGTAGTCGCGTGGATTTTTCTCCGGGCCCTCCGGGTTTTTTCCTCTCTGGATTTATAAACACGTGTTTCGAGTATTTGGCCGCTTAAAATGTCCACGTGATAAGCCACTTCGTTGAGCTATCATTTGTGGCCGTGGTCGCTTCTGAAAAAGAGCTATGTAGGCTCAGTGGGCCTTGCCTGGTAAAATAAACAATGGTTTACAATAGTTTACACGATTGCATTTGAAGGGTGGAGAGCCTTTGAAATCGGATTTGGTCGTCAGGGAAAACTAAATGGAAATGAGTAGCTGGTTGGGAGACCTTGGGGAGAAACGAAGGGGGGATTGGTGGAGAGTCACGGAAAGTTCCAGCAAGGATGGGGACGAGAATAGAGGGAGGGGGTAGAAGGTGGTTCTCATGGCACCACCCAAACGGATTCCCTGATGTGGGACGATGCGCCGTGCGTAAGACGCAATGAAGCCCAAGTCCCAGACTCGCCTTTTGGCGTCTTCTGGTCCAACACCAGTGGAGACTGGGCTCTAAAGAAAGCCGTCTCGGGTGTGGACCAATCAAATTCAAGGACAGTGCATATTATTATCAGGGTTGTCTTTTTTGTTTGCATTTCGACTGCTTGTGTTGTGGTTATTGCAGACATGATGCCTTGAATAAAGGTGTCAGTTTTTTGTGCCAGTTAAAAGGGTAAAAACCTATTACTATATCCTTTATACGAGTTTATAGCAACACTCATTTAACCTCCGCAGCTCATTATGGGGCGACACGGCAAGCAGTGCATCAGTACAAACCTCGCGACCTGAGTGTGTCCCCAACCACGGCTGACAATAGTGCAGAAGGATACCTGAACCCACGCATTACATACAGCAAAGACAAAGATCCCCCACATAGGCTTCAGCAGACTGTTGAGGCAAGTGCTGTTTACAATCACCTATAAAGGGCCCCAGCACAGCTTGTGAGGGGGGGTGGGTGGCCAACAACATGCCCAGCCATCTTTGTCACCCTACATGCTGATGTTTACACACCACGCCAGGTTCCCATTGAAGGCTGAGTCGACCTAGGGAGAGGCCCACGACCCGTTCAGAAATTCGGCATTGTTCGCCGGGTTTGTAGTGCAGTGCTCTAACCACTAGACCACCGCTCCCCCATTGCACACAACATATACCCAGCAACGAACGTTGATGTCTTTGCACGTGCCCTTAGATTGCACGTATCCTCGATATGAATTCAATCAATATTTAATTGCTGCATCAATGCGTCATTCCACCTTCAACATCTGTGTACACGTGGCACGTGCAACTGCAAGCACAATGGCTCTGTTGGTGCTGCAGGATGCAAGAACTGGAGCTGGAAGATAGGCAAGGGCGTCTGCAGCAAAGACTTGACGACCTCAGCGCCTTAAATGGTATGCCGACCGCGCACCCCTGCGAACTATCAAACCGCTGAGGCAGACACAACGCAATAGCCTGAATTTACCTGCCTATAATCACCTCGGATGGTGCCCAATCTTGTCGAAATCTGGAAGCAAAGCGCAGCTTGGGCCTGGTTATTGCTCGGGTGAGAGCCTGTCTCGGAATGCCCAGCATTGTAGGCCAAGGTTGCGGTGTGACGAGGGGATGGAAGCACACAGCGCTGCCTACTTGAATCCACCTGTGCAGAGCTTTGAGTGTTCTCTGCTTGTATGAATTTATTTTTCTCGAGGTTTTACTGTTTCTCTGCACATGGCCATAAATACACACAGGAATGGAATTGGCCAAATATCCCAATTTAGTAGGATCCTCCTAAAAGCCTACGAGACCTGCCTGGGTAAATAAAGGGTAGAATATTATTATTATGAATGCAAAAGCTGCTGTGTTGCAATGGTGAGCTCACTGGACGTACAATCTGCAGGTCACCGGTTCGACTCGATCTCCCGGCGCGGCAGTTGAAAATAAACAGGGCGAGTTTCTTAAATCACCGACTCGGTCTGCCCAGCAGTATAGCTGAGTACAACACAGTCGATCAGCAGATCGTGTTCGATGGCGATTCCTCCGGTCTGAATAAAGATTATGATTCTCAAGTGTGGGTTATTCCCATCTTTTCCCATACGTCCGGCCAGCATGTAAGAGTAGGCCAAATACCATCTGGAGACCTTTCCACCGGCAGTGGCGTGAGCCAGCAATTGCAGAGCTCCACTTTTACCTTTCAATTATATCCTCTAGAGAAGTGGTTCTTAACCTGGGGTGCACGCACCCCCCAGGGGGTGCGAGAAGCCCTTTCTGGGGGTGCGAGACATGCATGATTTTTTTAGAAAGTATATAATCTAAACCATTTAAGCGCGGGCACGCAAGTACAACTACTTTGTTTCATCAAACCTAGGTGCGAGAAGCCCTTTCTGGGGGTGCGAGACATGCATGATTTTTTTTTATAAAGTAAATCATCTAAACAAATTAAGCGCGGGCACGCAAGTACAACTACCTTGTTTCATCAAACCTAGGTGCGAGAAGCCCTTTCTGGGGGTGCGAGACGTGCTAGATTTTTTTTTTAAAAGGTAAATACTCTAACCAAATTAAGTGCGGGCACACAAGTACAACTACCTTGTTTCATCAAACCTATGAATGTATTAACATAAAAAAAAAATTACGATTGAGAACCAGATGGGGTGCAAGGCAGCAGTAAAGGTTAAGAAGCGCTGCTCTAGAGGGGCCTCTATCTCGAGCTTCCCCTAGCGCAGGTCCTTCCGCTGCAACCTTTACTCCAATTAGAGGTATTAATGTCTTGGTCCTGTCACTCTCTCTCTCTCTCTGTGTCGGACAGCGTCGGAGTATGATGAAGAGGAGCAGCAGGAGCTGGATCGACTGTTGCAGGAGAAGCTGGAGGTCGTGGAGCAGAGGAACACTCTGGTGTCCCTCCTGGAGGAGCAGAGGCTCTTGGAGAAAGAGGAAGACAAATAGCTGTCTGAGACCCTGGGCATGCTGTACTAAGTCTGCTCGTGATGAACTGTAAGACGGCAGAGAGAGATCACGTTTGGTTCCGGTGCAAATATGACATAACTTCGTCTCTCTATCGATATCGAGTCATCCCCGTAGCTGGGAATTTTTGTAACACGGCACGAATCGCAACTGGTGGCAATGAAGTTCATTCTGCAGGGGATTGTCGAAGCAAGGCTCTGGGGAGTGTAGTGGGTGACATAAAACCAATTCGAGCACGTTTCTGTAAATGAGAAGTTCGCCAGACAGAAACGTATATCCAGGCTGGAAGCAAATAAGAGGCATAATAATAAAACCTGCAAAAAGGTAATTTGTAGATGGCAAAAGGGCACGATTGTGACCAGGTGATCAGTCCTCCCATCATGCCTTGCATGACACGTGACATCACCACTGCATGTGATGCACAGCTGGGTCTATATGCTCCCGTTTATTTACACTTCACCTCACCACACTCACTGCCGGTGTGCAATACGGTCAAATGACCCTCGTGATCCGCACGGCGTGGGGTAGGCCTCATCCAGCAGTGGATTGAAAAGAGGGGGGATTGTAGACTGTTGGAGATATTTGGATTTACATGTAAACTTAGATATTGGGATGTACACGTGGACTGTTGGAGATACTGGGATGGACACGTGGACTGATGGAGAAATTGGGATGTACATGTAGGCTGTTGGAGATATTTCTGTCAGTGGGCAGTTATGACTGGAAAATAACTTGGATGTCTTTGCATCCCGTTGCTGATGTTGACAAAACGTACAGGCATTTACCTATGCGACGTATCGATCAAGACGGGCCCTCAATGGTATTCCCGCACCTCTGATTTAGCACGATTGGCTACGTACGGTGCGAAAGAAGTTCAACATGCATACGTACAAGCAAGAAGAGATGAGAGTCAATTATTAAAAATTTAGAGTTTTTTAAACGTGATTTAATTTTAAATCCGTGTGATCGCACATGTGAGCGGGGGGGGGGGGGGGGGGGGGGGAAGGTGGCACAGTGGTGAAATAAAGTCCCCACACAGCTCCCATGATCGATAAGTTCTGGGCAAGGTTTTCATCCAACAGCATATTGACAAAGGGCTCTACATTTGAACCACAAACTATTTAAGGACAATCCATCCTTATTTTGCGTGCAAATATCGCCCTCAATAACGGTGACGTCCGGTGCACATTATAGCAGAACGGGAGTGGTACGGGGGGGGGGGGGGGGGGCGGGGGCACGGAGCATAAGGAATGAAAAAATAAACCCATCGCGTCCTCCGAGGTGAACAAATAAACATTCTTGGCCATTAAATGCATCTAATAAATATAGAAATACATTAAAGAGAGTATACACCCTGCAGGTAAGCACGCTGACTGGCAAAACTAAAAATAATAAACGCTTAGAAAGTATTTTACAAACGGCTCAATGTTGCTCAAATTCTGGAATAATTCTTACGTTTATTTGAGGTCACAGTTAACCCTGTCTAAATTTCACGACGGTTTTGGGTATTATCCTGGGTATAAAAAGTTAATTGCTGTTATTTTAACGCCCTATGTAGGGGGGGGGGGTTGTCCTTGCTTAATAATACATTACATTTACTACTGCAGAAATTACTCTGATTTATTTTGCTAATACGTATAATTGGTTTATTTTGGGTGAGATCGTCTAGGTATGGTGTAATTTTTTTTTTTACAATAACCCTCCACCACCCGATGGAGCCATTAAAAAATAAAATTGTCATGTGGGAAAATGTGTCAATTGATTTGGTTTGTCAGCCAGACTGCTTTAGTTAGCTAGACTGATTTAGTCTAGGCTGCTTTAGTCTAGGCTGCTTTAGCCTAGGCTGCTTTAGCCTAGGCGGCTTTAGTCAAGGCTGCTTTAGTCTAGGCTGCTTTAGTTAGCTAGGCGGCTTTAGTCTAGGCTGCTTTAGTCTATTTGGCTTTAGTCAAGGCTGCTTTAACCTAGGCTGCTTTAGTCTAGGCTGCTTTAGCCTAGACTGCTTTAGTTAACTAGACTGCTTTAGCCTAGGCTGCTTTAGTTAGCTAGGCTGCTTTAGTTAGCTAGGCTGCTTTAGTTAGCTAGGCTGCTTTAGTTAACTAGGCTGCTTTAGTTAGCTAGGCTGCTTTAGTTAGCTAGCTGGCTTTAGTTAGCTAGGCTGCTTTAGTTAGCTAGGCTGCTTTTGCCTAGGCTGCTTTAGTTAGCTAGGCTGCTTTAGTTAACTAGGCTGCTTTAGTTAGCTAGGCTGTTTTAGTTAGCTAGCTGCCTTTAGTTAGCTAGGCTGCTTTAGTTAGCTAGGCTGCTTTAGCCTAGGCTGCTTTAGTTGCCTAGGCTGCTTTAGTTGCCTAGGCTGCTTTAGTTAGCTAGGCTGCTTTAGTTAGCTAGGCTGCTTTAGTTAACTAGGCTGCTTTAGTTAGCTAGGCTGCTTTAGTTAGCTAGCTGGCTTTAGTTAGCTAGGCTGCTTTAGTTAACTAGGCTGCTTTAGCCTAGGCTGCTTTAGTTAGCTAGGCTGCTTTAGCCTAGGCTGCTTTAGTTAGCTAGGCTGCTTTAGCCTAGGCTGCTTTAGGCGTCACTGTTCTAGTCAGCTCGACAGAGAGAATGAATGATTGAAACCCGCTGGATAAGACTCGACTAAAATTCCCATCGACTATACTAAGACCACAACTAAAATAGACAATGCAGACGGAAGTAAAACTGGCATGCATGCACGTGTATCAGTAAAGAGAAAAACAAATGTAAATTTCTACAAATTTCGGTTCTCACAAGTGCCTATTTCCGTACACATGCAGGGTGACAAGTAGACGATTCCATGGAGTGCTCGTCAGATTTAATATTTTACTTTGCATTATTTCCGCCACCCCGTGGAATAACAGCTTTTAAGCGCCAGCATATTGTGACATCATAAGTGGTCTTACCAGCACTGTTTAAACGAAGAAGAAATCATGCATAATTAAAGGAAGAGTCATTGGCATTATTCCCAACCTTCAAGCCCTTCATCATACCCACCATTAATTTGTCTGTAATCCTCGCGATTTTAATTATCCATCGCATCGCAAGCACGTATCGAATAAGTGGACAGTGAGCGCTATCATGCTAAGCTCTCAGGAATTTAGCTGCCGTGCACACTGGAATGCACAATTGTGGGGCATCAATGCACGTTGTTAGCAGTCACCTCTCCAATGCTCTCGCTGCCCAGACTCCACAATCACATCCCAATGTGCCCATATCCTTCTCTCGTGGACTCTAAATGGCATGCGCGGTGAGTGGGTCTGAGGTTTCCCAGATACACGTATTTAGGCTTCTGTGGTTGTGAGCCAAATGCTAATTTTAAATACTCCCATCTTTTTTTCCCCATCTTCTTCCAATCTTGCTGACGGTGTCATGTGACGAGATTAACTACCTGTCCGGGAAGACTCAAATAGCAGTGCATCACCAACCTGTGCGTATGACGGCGGTCCACAAGGAGTGGGATATTACAGAGCTGCCTCTGATTCCTTCGAGTCGTCTTTAGAGTCGAGGGAAACGCTCTCCCACTCGCAGTGCACTATGGGAATAATGTTCATCGCATGACAGCTGAGATCCCGCATTCAGAATCTGAATATTTATACTGGAGGAATCCGATGAGCTATAAAGCTATTTTACACAGATATCGAGTAGGGGCGGGTAAGAACATTACAACAACAAACAATACAAAACACGATAGGCGTGCAAAGTACAGGAAAGGTAAACAAAAAAACAGATCCCCCGTATAGCCTTAACAGACTGTAGGGGCAAGTGCTGTTAGCAAGCACCTATGAAGGCCAGAACGGTACACGAGGGGGTGGATGGCCAGCACCACGCCCGACCGCCTTTTTCTCCCCAGTGACGATGCTTACCGAACCAAGTACTAATTTGAGGCTGAGTCGACCTAGGAGAGGCCCAGGACCGGTGCAGATAATCGTCACCGGTGTTGGCCGTGAGCGGGAATCGAACCCGGGTCGCCAGGTGCATAGCGCAGCGTAGCACCAACCGCTATACTACCGCTCCCCCACAAACAAAATATCACAGAGACACATACACATTCAACTAAACCACCACATCCTGCCAGACACAGCCCACTGAGGTGTTCACTTACTTTTCAAAAGCGGCCTTGGTCACGAATGATAGCTCAACAAAGTTGCAGTGTCAACCCGGCACTCTGACCTCTTGACCCAACCGGTCGACCGTCTCCGCCCGTGACCTCTTTATCAACGCACTAGGGGGCGCACGTGCTCATTGCACCTTCCCGCATGCTATTGTTGTGACACATTTGTCGCATGGCAGTCAAAGGAAAATGTTTAACTGTCAACCGGGATAGGCCAAATTAAGTGAACGCACGCATTTAATGTGGTGGGGGTTTTATTTTTTGAACAGTCCATAGGTGACTCGGCTGACACCATCAACTGACTATACCCTTGAAGGTCCTGGTTTAATCAGGGTTGCTGAAATCCAGATTCAAAGCCATAATATGAGCTTCGCTGGCTCATTGATCCGACACCTGGGTTATTCAGTCACCTACAAGTAGAATACTTCTAATTGACAAACGGGAAACGTATCAGTTCAAAACCATGTTAGAATTAAGCGCATCATCACAACAGGGTCAATGCAATGAGCATTACTTTATGGGGCGTTTTGACAGTGGCTGTTCTATGGAAAGACTGCTTCCAGGCCATAGAAATGTGGAATTTCCATCACTGCCCCAGGGTAACCAACACAGATGAGCGTCACATATAGTGCAATGGGGCAAGGAGAAAGTTTGACTTGGGATAGCTTGGTTTTCGTATGCCCTTGTGTCAAGTAATGGAATGGGCTCAAAGGCTATCTCCCATGAAATGTTAATGCATCATAAGCCAAGGCTTAACCACACTTACAACTGCTGTTCTTGCATTCTCCAGCATGAGCTGCCTCTGTACTAAGCACAGTTCCATCACGACTTCTTTAACTGAAAACCACTCTGCTACCCAAAGCTCCCATTACTACCCCCCTCCCACCTTTTCCCGACTCCCCTCCTGATAGCCCCTCAACCACCATCTGTCAAAATGCCCGGGGCCTCCCCGTGTCTCCTTCCAGAGCCTGCCTGGCAAGTATTCACATTCCCGAAGGCGTATTCTCATTCCCCTCTTGAATCGACGGGGGCCCGACATAACCCGGCCGGCCCCACTGTTCATTAGTGTGGACATTAAAGACGCCCCTGCTCACAGTAGCATTTCATAAACAAATTGCACTTCAAGGCACGCTTTGATGTAGGGGGGTGGTGTGGGGGGGGCAAATTGGGTGATGGACTTTGCCATACGGAATACCAAGCTTCGTCTAATGATGTGGCGAGAGCCACATCTGCTACTTTGCTCTTCGTGGCCGAATTGTTCGTCCACTCTTCGCCAGCACCCACGATCAACACAAACACGATAAACATAAAAACGATCAACACAAACACAATAAACACAATAAATACAAACACGATTAACACAACCATAATAAACACAATAAACACAAACACGATCATCACGATAAACACAAACACGATCAACACAAACACGATCAACACAAACACAATAAACACAACCATAATAAACACAAACACGATAAACACAATAAATACAAACACGATAAACACAACCATAATAAACACAATAAACACAAACACGATCATCACGATAAACACAAACACGATCAACACAAACACGATCAACACAAACACAATAAACACAAAAACGATAAACACAATAAATACAAACACGATAAACACAACCATAACAAACACAATAAACACAAACACGATCATCACGATAAACACAAAAACAACAAACACGACAAACACAAACACGACAAACACGACAAACACAAACACGACAAACACAATAAACACGACAAACACAAACACAACAAACACGACAAACACAAACACGACAAACACAACCACGACAAACACAATAAACACGACAAACACAAACACAACAAACACGATAAACACGACAAACACAAACACGACAAACACAAACACGACAAACACAAACACGACAAACACAATAACACGACAAACACAAACACCACAAACACAACACGACAAACACGATAAACACAATAAACACGACAAACACAAACACGACAAACACGACAAACACAAACACCACAGACACAATAAACACGACAAACACAAACATGACAAACACAAACACGACAAACACAATAAACACGACAAACACGACAAACACAAACACAACAAACACGACAAACACAATAAACACGACAAACACAAACACCACAAACACAAACACGATAAACACAATAAACACGACAAACACAAACACAACAAACACGACAAACACAACAAACACAAACACTATAAACACGACAAACACAACAAACACAAACACGACAAACACGACAAACACAAACACGACAAACACAAACACCACAAACACAAACACAATAAACACGACAAACACGACAAACACAACAAACACGACAAACACAATAAACACGACAAACACAAACACCACAAACACAAACACGATAAACACAATAAACACGACAAACACAAACACAACAAACACGACAAACACAACAAACACAAACACTATAAACACGACAAACACAACAAACACAAACACGACAAACACAAACACAACAAACACGACAAACACAAACACCACAAACACAGACACTATAAACACGACAAACACGATAAACACGACAAACACAAACACCACAAACACAAACAAACACGATAAACACAATAAACACGACAAACACCACAAACACAAACACGACAAACACAACAAACACAAACACCACAAACACAATAAACACGACAAACACAAACACCACAAACACAATAAACACGACAAACACAAACACCACAAACACAATAAACACAATAAACACGACAAACACCACAAACACGACAAACACAACAAACACGACAAACACAAACACGACAAACACAAACACAATAAACACGACAAACACAAACACCACAAACACAAACACGACAAACACGATATACACAATAAACACGACAAACACGATAAACACGACAAACACAATAAACACGACAAACACAAACACGACAAACACCACAAACACAATAAACACGACAAACACGAGCTGCATGGGAGCAAGTCGTATGCGGTTGAGCGGGCAAGGTCGCTGCTGTCCAGCGTGCCCCTTCCAAGTGATGGCAGTGATGAGAGACGCAACGATCAATGCATTGATCCAGCAATTAAAATCGATTCCTAATCGCATGATTGCGCTCACTGCATCATTCGTTCGTTATTCGTAACTTACAAACGCCATGGCCAACATCAGTGGCGAGCAGAGATTCATTTCTCACTCGATGTTTTCCGCAATGCCGCGAGGCTGCCTCGGAGCAGGCAGTATCGGCATAAGGCACTACCACTAGAGTACAAGTAACGCCTTTCCACAATAACCCAATATTATCGTACCCCATGCTGTAATGCTGTAATCTAGTGATGACGCAGTATCACGAGGACACAACTACCGCTACCAACAGCCTGGGGCCCATCCATTTAGTACGTACGCATGGAGGGGGGAGGGGGGGGGGTTAACCCAAATGCGTAGCTTGCGTATGGGGGTCTACTGACAATGTGCGTACGCATAGGAAATGGGGGGCGGGGGGTGGGTGAAGCCTCGATAATAATTTGTCTGCATTGGCCTTCAAATGAGTTACATAGTCCTGGGGTGGACAATCTGTTTGCTTAAACACGTTAATATAATGAACCCTTGATCGTTTCTGCGTGGATTAAATATCGTCCGTTCTATATGATTCGGGGTTGGGGGGGGGGGTACGTCAGGCGTACGTACGCAGGTGGGGGGTAAAAAGTCTGCGTACGTACAGGGAGGGGTCAAGTTTTGACAGATGTTTGCGTACCTACTCAATGGATGGCCCCCTTACTGAACGTCTGTGCAAAAGGACTTCATGGCTGATCGGATTTCTTCAGGACAAATCAAGATTATAAAATTGTGTGGGGGGGGGGGGGGGTGTGTGTGTGGACATTCACAGCGTGCGAGTCAGTAGGTCGTGTGCCATCGTCCTACCGAGTGACTGTGATTGTTGATTCTGAGCATGGGACGGATTTGGCGTGGCCAAGTGAGTTCCGGACCGATCCTTCTGCTGCTGCTGCTGCAAATGAAGCCACTGGGAGCGAGCGATGTGAGCCCACCCCTCCTGAGCACCCCACCGCCTTCAACACCGCGCACTGACGGCCGCCGTGAACGACGATCAAACGACCTCCACAATCAGCACGGTGAGAGGTGGGAGCGAGTGGGGGGGGAGCCTTCATCCAGCAGTGGATGACCACCAGCTGTACATTGTTGTCATACTTGCATATGCTGAATGTAATGGGTTTACGTGACCCCCGCCTCCCTGCAACCAATAGAGGCCATACAAAAATGATTGAATCGCTGCTAAGAGTGAATCGGTGCACACTTAAGCAATGACGGAGCCGCCGCTGACCTGGGTGTTAATCCGATTTGTGCTTTCGTCGTTGCCTGACGATGGAAGGGAACCTTCCCAAATACGAACGGGGACCGCTCGACTCGCGGCACGCTCGGCTCGCACCTCGGAGGCTTTTTTTTCAGCCGGCGTCTAAAAATTCCGGCGTTTAGCGCAGAGGGCAGCCTCGGGCTCCCCCGGCGGTGTCACGTTGCCCACGGAATTTTTCTAAACGCCCTCCCAAATAGCCGGACGCAAATAGAAGGCCGCGGATAGCGGCGCGTTTTCAAAAGTGGTTTCTCAGCTGTCGCCTCCCAGCTATTGCCGCCGCTTGGCGAAGTCACCCGCAGCGCTGTTCGTTCTCACGCTGCGGGTGGTGTGCCGCACGTGTCACCACCACCACCCCCCCCACCTCCTCTGGCTAAGAGAGAACTTGCACGAGCAAGCCTGCACGCTGGCACTACTGGCAGACCCAGAGTCAGAGCATTACGCTCCGACTTGCTTGTTCGGCTCCGATGCTGCGCCTTTTGGCTTACACGCAGCAAAGCCGCGCAGCGTTCCACGTCCGTGGGTTTGGGTCTATTCCTGAAACGTTTGTGTCGCGTAGGGTGTTGGGGGGGGGGGGAAACCGCACGTGCATTTTTATTTTAAGGTAGATTCGTAAGCGAATAACATTGATAAAGTACGGCCAACATGGACGGACTTTTGTGTGGAAAGCAGAAAAGTAAAAAAGGTAAGATTGCTGTTTTATTTCGCTTACATACCTGCGTGGCATGCGCGTGCCGAATTACCGCGGATTGCTCCAGCAAACTCCGTGTACTGAATACAAAAGCGAATAAACGTAAAGGCTAAAAGTGATTTCCTGCTCAATGAGCGTCGAGGCATCTCCTCTTTACAACCCTGAGCCACTGATGGAAAATGTTTCCACAAAAGTGGCAATCATTCGATTTACCCGAGAGAAATAACGGGCTGAATCAGACTCCAACCGGTATTTGAACTCATACGTTGTGCACTGGCGGGCCTGCTTGCCCTGCCACTGAGCCGCCTGGGACAGCGTTTCAATTGCAGTTGAGCGCTTTAAAAGGAGGGCTATGTCATGCATTACAGAAAGAGTTTCCTTTTTGACTAATTATCAGATGATTACTTATTTAACAGTACGTTTGAAGGTGCCTCCCAGGGAACAAGAGTCACATTAGTGAGCAAGACGAGATGAAAAACAAGTATATATCAGTTTAATAAATATTTTATCTGACATTGTAGCACAGAAAGGACTTTTAAAATTTCGTTTTTTCCTCCCGACTAATGGGTTTGAGCATCGCGATGTATGATAACAGAAGCGATTCCGTTATCGTTTTGTTCTGAATGAGTACCACCAGCTCTCGTACAGTATAAACACGGCTTCCCTGCATCTAGTCGTATTCTGTACCCTGCAAATATTTTAAGGGATCCATGCATTTTCAATAAATGTCCGAATGCCTTAGATTAATCTTCGCCAGTAAATGTGACACATTGACGAAGCAATTCTTATAGCATTATAAAAGCTACATTGCCATGATGTAACATTTTTTTGTTTTACAATTTCTTATATTCAACTGATGCTATATTGGTCTGCATGTCATTGGGTGACTGCATGTCCATCCAGAACGCTCTCAGATTAGTGATGTCTCCTGCTACAAGATAACGTCCCGTGGAAGGTGATATCATAGAACGACTTCTGAAATGTTTTCACGTCACCTCCTAGCCACGCGAGGGGGTGTTCTTTTCCCCTTTGCCCTCATATTGATGTTCGTCTACATGGCAGGCGATTCAAAAGTTTTTTTTTATTCTCACAGCTGGAAGTTCTGTCAATTTAATTGATAAAGAAATGTAATGATTTTTTTTTTTTACCAGTCATTGGTCGCCTGCCTTAGACCATAATTGTTGACTGAAACCCAGATTCTAACCCAGGATCTCAGTTGTTCTGGCTCAGGTGTCTGACTCTTGAACCACCTGGATACCTCCCAAATATTTGCATGTGATTGCCACGCTGTCGTTATTAATATCACCGTGATAAAAAAAGAAATACTGCATTCAACCTTTGCATTATTTACTTTGACGTTTATTTACTGTAATGCCCGTTGTAAAATACATCAGACACACCTCAAAGCAACGATTCATAAGTGAGAGTGTTTGCATAATTAAAATGTTTAAAGTCCAAGTGGATGTACAGTCGAGCTAGTGTGGTAATTAATTGTACGTAGCTATATATCTTAAACTTCTTTCACACGGTACGTAGCCAACCGTTCTGAATGTTGTCTTAAATTTAAGTTAGCACTTTGCATGAATATCAGCGCTGATATAATACATCTAAACTGGCCTGATCTTCAAGTTTATTAACACAACCATATATTATTTACGTATGCATGTACTCATTACTTAGATAAATGGCAAGCGTATGTATGTTACTTACTGTAAGATGCTACAATTTAACACTGAGCTGTGGCAATTCGGCAATTACGCATGCTGAATGCAGGTATGGATCAATTTCCGGCGAAACTCTCCAGTGCAGTGTTGACCGGTTTGAGCTCCCTGTGCGAATGTTGAAACAATGGTTACTTTAATTAAATCCCCGCAACCTCTGTCCACCCACCAGTATAGAAATGAGTTCGCCACGTATGTGAAAAAGAGCTTCATAGATCATCGGATTTCCGCAGGATGAATAAAGATTCTGATTCTGGGATGAAGCGTACTTACTCCAACCTCTTTCAAGACATCGGCCCAGCGTGGAAGAGTAGGCCCAATACCCTCCAGTGGAAAGCCTTCCGTCGGCATTGGCGTGAGCGAGTAATTGTAAAGTTGCACCTTTACCCTTATTATACCCACCAACTCTGCTGACAGAGATTCCCACGAGAGCTATAAGCTGCAACTGACATCCCACCCCCAGCCCCCTTAACATTTGATGACCATTGCAACCGTGATTCCTGAGAAAAACAAAACCCATAATGACACGATAAAGATACAGTGATGCTTCAACTGCACAGTGGTCAGTGAACTCGGTGACCTGTGGTTCGATTTCCGGCCAGGGCTAACATCAGTGATGGCCCAGCTGACACTGATGCACGGTCAAACAATCCCCATGACCCACACGGCCTCAGGAGGCCTCTCATCCAGAAGTGGATTAAGAGAGGGGAAAATGGGCTGTAAATTCTTAACATTGCTAATTTAAATTGTATGTATATATTTATATATCGCACAAGTGGCATGTCCTTGTTAAGTGGCATTCCTTCCACACATATTATTGACATGTATTCATGAACAAAACCTCAATATGTTTAAATTTTGATTTAAAGCTTTCGTGACTGCAGTGCTTCATTTTCTTGGTTCTTTCGGTAAAGTCACGTTGAAGGGAAACAATAAAATAATAATATATAATACAATATATTTGTCAACATTTATGCTATGAAGAAAGGCCATTGGACAACATGTTATCTATTGTAAAGTACAGTTGGTCATCTTTAGGGCAGTGCTATTGACAAATGTGTTGAGTTATTTTTTACGTGTGCTTGTGCACACACATGCATGTGCATCTATATTTATCTCTAAGACAAGAAAGCTTAACCGAGTCTCAAGAATAATAAGGTCAGTGATTTCCTGTTCAATGAGCGGCGAGGCATTACTCGTCTCCTGTTTACAACCTTCAGCCAGTCGTGGACATTCCACATTCCTATGACGGCGAAGAGTCTATCCATCGGACAACCGATGTCGACTTCCCCATAAGGTGGCTCCTATTTATCGACCTCGAAGGGACGACGGTCCGAGTGAACCACCCCAGCCAAAGATTCTAACTCGCAACCTTCCAGTCGCGAGACGTTCGCTCCGTCGCTGAGCCACCGAGCTGGTTCGTTCTGTGAATGTCGTGGGATCGTGATGGTTGTGTGTGTGTGGGGAGGGGGGGGCATGTTGGTGGGGGGGGAGGCGGTGGGTGGGTGGGGCGGTTGTAGGAGCCATCCCAAGACAGGGGTCTGCCTGCGAGACGAGACGAAGCGAGCTCCGATCACGTTCACCGGCCGCCTCCAGGGAAGCCTTCTCCTCCTCCTCCTCCTAATTGGCCGGAGTTGTCGGTCACGGTTGATGCGCTTGGGAGCCTTGGCAACGGCATGCGGCAAGCGGCGCTGGCAAGGCTAGCCAGGTGTGCCGTGCACTTGCGTAGGCTGCATTCAGAGCAGCCGGAGCTGCTGCTGCGGCTGGCTGCTGCTGGCTGCTGCTGTCGCAAGAAATCGTCGAAATGGATTGCCGCATTTGCTGTAGCGGTGCGTACCGGTTATAAAGTGTCCTTAGGGCTTCACGCAGCAGCAGCGGCTGCAGTATTACCCGGGCAAAAAAATATATTTGGGGGGGGGTTGGGGTGGTGTGTGTGGAAGGATTTATAGCTGAGATGGAAATAGCATTTGAATACAGCTGTTCGGCTACATATAAAATGGAGCTCAATTAGGGAGTGATCTGGGGGAAGATGCGTGACAGCTTGAGTGCGATGATGTTAAACAGCGTTAAGTGTGATGGAAGAGGAAATTACATTTTCTTTCCCATTTTTGCGGCCAATCGTTAATGTGGTGAATAATGGGTGAGTACTTATCCATGTCTTTGCTGGCAATTATGGAACATCAGCGTAGCGTTCGAGAAGTTGCTACGTATTTCTGAATGTGTGATGTAATGTCAGCTGCATCTTCCTGCTGAATTGTACCATTTGCAAAAATTAATCAGCGAAGCATGAAATAATTGATTTTATTTTGCAGAGAAAAATTCAACAGAAATAATAACTGCTGTGGAATTAAAGATTTAAAAAATGTATTCGTCAGTATGTCAATGAAATGTAAATTTCATGCAAAATTGGTTGAAATAATTAAACGGACAAATTGTATTAAAATTCTACAGTTAAATGTTCTCACCCGTGCTGTATCATTGTGAATTGTCAGGCTGTGGTGCACTCAGTGTAGCTATTCTACTCTTGTGAATGGGAATGTTTGGGAGCTAAATGTCAATGTTCGAGGTTTGCTAGCCACGAGAGGGCTTCAGGAGAGAGTTCGTGTCGTTTCGCTGTTCCTCCTCCGTTGAGTACAGTGGTTCATGATATGGCCCAATAGTTTGGCTTGCATGGCCACAATCGCACTGCCGCGTCTTACATTTTCAATTTTTGAAGGAAATAATGTGATTATGTTCCAGGAAATGCTGAATTGTGAAAAAAAATTAACTTTCAGTCATTGGTTACCTTTTCCGTGAACTCACTGTATCATTCAAAATGTAACAAAGCATATATGGATCTGTGGAAATTATAATGCTGAGGAATAAGATAAACCCCGATTGTCAGTACGTGAATGAAACTGTATTAATTAACGTTAAATTATTAACAAGGAGAGTACACGAATTTTGCCAAACAGAACCTTGATTAACTAATGACTTTAACGTCATAATGTTGTGAACAACTGTGAGGCTCGGTAACATTATTGTTAGGTTGAAAGTGCCGAATTGTAAAAACGCAGACTCATTTTTCGTTTCGTTTGCCTTTCCGTGAACCCGGTCAACGACACGCCACGTCCTGCGCTCGTGGAATTATTCAGAGCGACAGCGGAAACCACCCCAGTGGCACAGGTTGCCACACAGGCCCCCACAAATTAGCCCGGAAAATGCTGCTGACCATCACTGCGCTGGGGCGACGGTGCTAAGCAGAAACTGCACACCTTGTGCGCTGGAGCAGCTACGCAACTTAAATTGTATTCCCGCTGTGTGAAACGGTCGCGTTGATATATACTCGTTACAATTGTAATTTTTTTTGTAGTTTCATAAACGTAGATTATTTTTTTTAGTTTGAGCAGATTTTTTTGCGTGGTACTTTCCTCTTTTTATTTTTTTTATCTTCATGAAACAGAGGGCTTGCCCTCGCTTTTGACTTCTGGCTCACTTGGGGGCCTCCCTCCACCACCGCTGCCCACCTCATGGACGGAGGTGACCCTCGGCTCTCCCACCCCGTCCCCCTCTGCTCCTCTCCAGTCGCAGAGCTCCAGGAAGAGGCGATGAAATCAACTGGCTCAGCGCTCTCACCAACAAGCGAGGAAATCAGCCAAGAGGGCGCCCGACTCGGTAATGTTGTCAATCCACCAGTGGAACGAGGCTCCTCTTCATTTCCGAGGTCACTGGCGTCAGAGGTTGTTCCGCTGCCGTGCTCTGCGCCTCTCCGATGTGCGTGGTTTTTTTGTCGGGTCGTCTCACGTGTTGTTCGGCACGGTGTCAAAAGTTTCGCTCTCTGCCCACTGGAGAGCTTCTTCAGGAACTAAAAATTCAGCAGTAAAATCGAAAAAGCCATCAGAGAGGTTTTTTTTTTAATCCCCCCAGTCGTTATATAATCAATGGGAGGGAGCGCCTCGTTGGTGTCGCATTGGTTCGTACACTACGCAATGAACCCGATGTCCCGAGTTCAATTCCTAACCATGGTTAGCTTCAGTGGCGAGTAATATCCGAACTATTCTTTGTTCCCAGCATCCTTCACCAACCTGGCACTGACCGGCATGGTGAAGTATGGTAAAAACATCCCCATGTGACTGATATGGCATGGGGGGGGGGGCCTTCTTCCCACAGCGTTATTGACAAATGGCTGTCAGTAATAAAAACAAAAGAACATGGTTTGTCTATTTGCATGAATAATGATTTGTATAGAGTCACTTAAAGTAATACGCAACTCAAAAAGTCTACAGCTCACAAATTATAAACACGTAATTAGACTGTGTGTCCTTGGTTATCCGGCATGACTTTTACATTTCATTAGTGAGAGAATACTCAAAGTTTGGGTCAGGTGTGTCATTATGACACTCGAGTGATGCCACTTTGATGCCATTCCAATAATAGGCTTTAATACATCGACGCAGTGATGCCGTGAACATCTTTACAAAGCTCCCAGGGCCTGGTATTAATATGTTGCCCTTGACCAAGCTTAAAACTTGTCAGACAGCCTCATCAACATAGTCTATCTACAGTACATTACTACAAGGTATGATCTATTAGTTTTTGGGCTTGCGTCATCATTTAAAATACCTGTTTACGCGAATTATTTCCAATTTTAATTGCCATTTGCCGTCATATATATATTTTTTATTTTTTTTATTTTTAATATAACAGCAACAAGTCATCTCGATACTCGTATCACATTTAAAAAAGAAAACGCAATTCCATCGTACGTCTTCAGCAAATCGAGGAATGTTGCCACTGTTTCAGGGTTGGCACAATTGCTTTGCAATGCATTGGGTGCCATTTCGATCTCCTGGCGCGGCGGCAGTTGAAACATTGAGCAAGTTTAATAAACAGCCCCCCCCCCCTCGCCGCCCCCCCCTCCCCCCCCACGATGTAATAAGGGGTCGTCCATAAATGACGTCACGCGATTTTGGACGATTTTTGCCCCCCCTCCCCTCGTCACACGTCGTCACAAAAAGTCAGACCCCCCCTCAAATATGACGTCACAAAGCTCTGCCCCCCCCCCCAAAACCATATTTCCATTTTGAAAATAAAACATGCTTCAAATCGCTTTAAGCTATTGTCATTGTAGTGCGTATTGAATATGGCGCTGCACTCTGATGTTGTAGGAGAAATTTTTAATTAAAAAGTCTTTAATTTAGTGGAACGTGTTGTCTATATTTAATTAAAGCTGCGCATTTTGATGTGACGTCACATTTCTCAACCACCCCCCCCATCACACATCGTCATAAATGTTTGACCCCCGCCCCCCTAGGTGCGTGACGTCATTTATGGACGGCCCCTAACCATGTACTACGGTTATTACATCGGTAGGTCACATATGGTGGGGTAAAGTGTGGGTACTCCCACCCCTTCCAGGACATCTGACCAGCATGGAAGAGTAGGCCAAGGTACCCCCGAGAGGAGTTCTCCTCGGCCTCCATCTAGCGGAGGCCCTTCCTCCTGCAGTAGCCTGAGAAAGCAGTTGCAGGGCTGCACCTTTAACCTTTACCTTCCGCAAAACTTAATTAACTTTGTTTATTCGAGAAAAATTCAATTCACTTTGCTTCTTGGAACAATTCAATTCACTTTGTGTATTGGGAAATTTCAATGAACTTTTCTTTATTGGAGACATCCAAGGAGAACTGCTGAGGGACCATGTGCGAAATTCACATGTTGGCGGAAGGCCACTTACATCTGGCGGATAGCGTTGTCCCTGAGTATTTACATCGGCTCCACCGAGCACGACGAGCATTCCGGAATAATGTAGACTTGAGGAATCTGACGGCTATCAAGTAATTCATAATACAGGGGGGTTTTTTGGGTTAGATCGCGTAAATACAGGGTGCTTAAGAAAAAATGTTAACACTTCTGAGAAGTTCCAACAAAGCCACAAGAAACGTGTTGCTGCCTCTGGGCTCTGGAGACCACCTGGAGAAGATTCCAGGCCACGTGTTGACAACGATGGCGAACACGTGGAGACTCTTTGACTTTTTGAAGCTATTAACATTACATTCGTTATCACGTTGCAGTGTATTATCCGTTCTTATTCAATTAAAAACGATAGTCACATGTACGTGTTAGGATTTTTTTTAAGCATTCTGTTTATAAAGTTGTTAAACCCGCCACCACCCAACACAGGCAATTAGTAAGGTTTGTCACATAAACAGAACATGCCATATTCTTGGTTCTTTCGGTTAAGTCACGTAGATAGAAAAATGTAAAAATAAAAATAATAAAATAAAGCATTTAAATAAAAATTATAAATTGAAAATAATAAAAGCAAAAAAAAACCCACGACATTTCGATCGCAACACAAGCGGTCTTCATCAGGCGGAGATAAAAAAAAAGAACATGCCAATTCGTTACTAGTACAGCACAACCGGTGTGTTGGAGGGCAAAGCCACAATATTTACAATCTGAATATGACGTTTCACCAGTAATTACAACTAGCTTCATCAGGCGACAGACAGATTTGTGGAGAAATCCTCCTGTTCTATTCCTTGAATAGAGGGAGAGATGTAATTAAGTGAATTGTGTGCCCTTCTTGCACGAAGTGGGGGGGATAATGAATGCATATAAATGACTATGGGTATCCATTTCTATTTGGGTTATTTTTTTAATAATTGTCAATAGTTTTAGAATATACACTTGTATTTATACACGAATAATGTGGCTTGACACACAAATTAAATTTTGACTTTAAACTTCCGTGACTGCAGGAATTCACATTCTTTGGTTCTCTTTCGGTAAAGTCACGTAGATAGAAAAAATAAAAAAAGAATAAAGTGAATAAAAATAATAAAATTAAAATAATAAACACTCATGTAGACTGTAGCCTGGTTCTTAATCGGAGTGAGTGTACTGGCAGTCTATATACTGTATAGATCACCTGGAGAATATATATAGACTGCCAAAATAGAATTTTAATGTTATTTTTATTATTTTTATTCACTTTCTTTTTTATTATTATTTTTCTAAGTGACTTTACCGAAAGAACCAAAGAATGCACAAATTAACATTACCACTCCATTACGATCCCAGAATGCTGTTTGTCTGAGTACATCCAGCACCATGATATATTATCAGCAGTTCTCCCTTATGTCACCATCCGAGTTACAGTCCTAATTTATTGGCAGACTGTGGCCAAGTAAACACCACTTGATGGTTACCTAAATGATGACCCAGTTCCTTAAATTGTCTGGAATGCACGTCTGCAATCATGGAACTAAGTGGCAATGTAGCAAAACAATCGACCTCTCGGCACTGAAGCCTGATAAATAAACACAAAGCACCTGAAATATTGAGAAAGCTTTCAGATTGAATTACACCGTTTAACTTTCATTCGTGAATTGTAATTTTAAGAGGGCGTAAGGACGATACAAATTGGATTTCACTGGAAGATAAAAAAAAAATCTGTTTATTAAAATGAGTCAGCGGCTAGCCAAGGGAGAAAAAATAGGCAGGCACCCTTTGACCTTTAAAATTGATTAGTCATGCGGATATTGCCCCGGTGGTGCGGTTGTAATTCCTGTGCGCTTGTTCATGGTAAACAGGGTCATTAGGAGGTGACATCAGTATCCAGACACTGGTTTAGAAGGTGGAGGAACCTTTTGTTAGTACCTCTCTATGTGTGACCCATTCTGTTTTTTAAAAGCAAAAATATTGTCAGTCAGGTTGACTGGGTACAGTGCCATCCCATTTGGTGAGAGCTATTTCATTGCACAGATGTGTAAATCATTAGTAATCCAGTTTGTCCCCACCCCCTTTTCCTGGGTTCATTTATTAGCTTACTTGATATTTTTATTGCAATTCGATATCTTGACAAAGCACAAAATTGGAAATTTTCTTCGCTAATTTAATTAGCTACACGTGTCTATTTCATGCAGTGTCTTTCCACCCTCGAGGCTAAGGATAGAATGCGATGCGTAAAAAAAATCGCACTTCACTACAAGTGGGTGCATGTTGGATTACAGGTCTTGTTGATCGTTTGTAAGTATTAATGTTTTATTTATTATATTTTCAATGGTTAAGTGTTTAATCATGCACATTTTTTTAATCACCGTTGGTGAGCATAGGTCGACATACCCGAAAAAACGTCAAGCGGTCAGCAACAAACTGCACTCTTAATGTTTCCAATGAATAAGAATGTAACACTTTTCTTGAATTGAGCAAACATTAGAAAAGTTTCGGGAAAAAAGACGACGAGAGAAGGGAATTCAAAATTTGAGCCGTGAGAGGAAAGACAGAAATAGGAGCGTTGTGACCTGCAGTGTGGTGAGTGGGTGAGTGAGTTGCTGTGACCTGCAGTGTGGTGAGTGGGTGGGTGAGTGTGTTGTTGTGACCTGCAGTGTGGTGAGTGCGTGAGTGTGTTGTTGTGACCTGCAGTGTGGTGAGTGGGTGAGTTGTTGTGACTTGCAGTGTGGTGAGTGGGTGAGTTGTTGTGACTTGCAGTGTGGTGAGTGGGTGAGAGAGTTGTTGTGACCTGCAGTGTGGTGAGTGAGTGAGTTTTTGTGACCTGCAGTGTGGCTAGTGGGTGAGTGAGTTCCTGTGACCTGCAGTGTGCTTTGTGGGTGAGTTGGTGTGACCTGCAGTGTGGTGAATGGGTGAGTGAGTTGCTGTGACCTGCAGTGTGGTGAGTGGGTGAGTGAGTTGTTGTGACCTGCAGTGTGGTGAATGGATGAGTGAGTTGTTGTGACCTGCAGTGTGGTTAGTGGGTGAGTGAGTTCCTGTGACCTGCAGTGTGGTTTGTGGGTGAGTTGTTGTCACCTGCAGTGTGGTGAATGGTTGAGTGAGTTGCTGTGACCTGCAGTGTGGTGAGTGGGTGAGTTGTTGTGACTTGCAGTGTGGTGAGTGGGTGAGTGAGTGTTGTGACCTGCAGTGTGGCTAGTGGGTGAGTGAGTTGCTATGACCTGCAGTGTGGTGAGTGGGTGAGTGAGTTGTTGTGACCTGCAGTGTGGTGAGTGGGTGAGTGAGTGTTGTGACCTGCAGTGTGGTGAGTGGGTGAGTGTGTTGTTGTGACCTGCAGTGTGGTGAATGAGTGAGTGAGTTGCTGTGACCTGCAGTGTGGTGAGTGGGTGAGTGAGTTGTTGTGACCGGCAGTGTGGTGAGTGGGTGAGTGAGTTGTTGTGACCTGCAGTGTGGTGAGTGGATAAGTTGTTGTGACCTGCAGTGTGGTGAGTGGGTGAGTGAGTTGTTGTGACCGGCAATGTGGTGGTTTAAAAAATCTTGCACCTTTGTTTCAACTACCATGCAGGGAGATATAACCGACAACCTCTGCCTTACAAGTCGAGTGTGATCACCATTCGACCAGTGTAGCACACCCATTCACTCTAATGTTGTATGAAATAATCGATTATTGAAACGATTAATGACCCTGAATAGTGTCTATTCATCAAACCACTGGAGACAATTGAATTGTTACCAGTAAGGAGATAGATCATCACGCTCCAACTCAGGATTCAGAATGACGATGATCATAATGATGATGGTAATAATGATGGCAATGATGATGGTAATGATGGCGTAAACTTTTCATTTTTTTTCAGAAGAGAATGAGGAGCGTAGCATCATCAATCCACAACACAAAGATGACCCAAAGCTGCAGGAACTGATCAAGGTGAGCACGATGCATGGCACACCCATATCTCATCCGTAAGTGTCCAAAGTGATAAGAATTCCAATGTGGGCCAGTGACAGTTTGAAAGGTTGGAGAAGGAACACATTGTGGAAACGAAAGGGAATCCATTAGGATTGAAAGGTGAAATGAGCCAAAATCAATGCTTTAACCTGCACGCACCGCAGTCACATCACTGTTGTGGGGGTGCTTGTACGTTACGGCATTCGCAGACGCTGATGTTTTGCAGATTCCTTATGTAATAGTGCTTAATCTGTACTTTCAAGTGGACCTTTATGTGGAACATTAATCCACTTAGTAATCTCTTAGAGTGCGCCTGAGCATGTGTGTGCGGTCTGAAGCTTACTGGAACAATACCAAATGGGAATATATATAAAATACAGAAGAGGAAAAAAACAGTATTGCTGCTGTGCTGGATATTCATACGAATAGCCCCTCAATCCATCGCTGGCTGAGGGCCTCCCCGCACACCGTGGCGGTTGGTCACAGGGATAGTTGACCATACTTCACCACGCTGGTCAACGCGGGTCGGTGAAGGATGCTTCATATGAGCTATTGATATATCCGTGCTGTCAATTTGGTAACTTTGCCTCATTTATAAAGATCATATACACGTGTAGTTTACATTTTGCTATCCTCAATTCACAGGTTCTCATTATCTGTTGTGTTAAACAGCTACAAAGAATACATTGTGATATAATTAAAAGTGTTGTTTATTATTATGTTTAGCTGCTTTGAGACGAAATGAAATCCACAGAATAAAACCTTTATTATGAAGAATAAAACTTGTCTAAAATTCCATGGGATGCTGTCGACTAAACTAACACTGATTTCAAACAGATTTTTTGGGATAGGCCACTGAATGACCTGAACCCAAGTCCCTGTCATAAAACCCTCCACCCCCTGACACAGCTAAACAAAATGAATGTGTCGCTCATGCATATTTTAACAACTCGACAATGATGTATTGTTGTTTCTTCTCACACGGTAAACTGAGCAACAATTCTCACGATCCAGCATCTTAAGAGAAAAATGTGGCCAGCTCAGTATATGTGGCCTAACCAAAAAAAAACCTGTTGTGAATCGTAACATTGGCGGCGAAAGCCACCGTTTTGAGTTAAACAAAGACTACCAATTTGGGTTTTTCGATATATTTAAGTCAGTCTGGAAAACTAACCTTTTTAAACTGGCCTCTACCCGCAGAGTTCTGCTCGTTTACGATGGTTCTGTTTATTTCCTGCTTTCCATACACAGCACGCATTGGAATCCAAGGATGAAATGTGCCTTACAAATGTAAATTATAATTATTATTACTGTATGGCGACCAAAACAAAACAAGGCTCGGTAAGGCACACTGGGCTATGTAGCTCTTTTTCAGAAGCAACCTGGCCACAATAGCTCAACGAAGTGGCTTATCGATATTCTTTGGGTCTTTCGGTAAAGTCACATAGATAGGTTCAAAGAAAATAACAAAATAACAAAAACTACGACGTTTCGATCGCTGAAAGACCCAAAGAATATGAATTTCTGCAGTCACGAAAGCTTTAAGTCAAGATTGAAGTGGCTTATCATGTGAAAATTGATAGCAGCCAAATACTCTAAATGCATGATTCTAAATGTGGAGAGAAATACCGGCAGACCAGGAGAAAAATCGACGTGACCTCGCGGAGAGAGAACACGCAAACTCCAAATAAACAACAATCGTCAGGGTCGGGATCGAACCCACGACCTCCTGCTACACCAGGCGAGGTGGCTAACATTTCACCACCTGCGGAACCCAGATGTCCACGGCCTTACCCTGCAGGCCCCACGAAACTAACGCCGGTCCCAGCGCAGGTTCTCAAGGACTGGATCAACGACGTCCTGGTCGAGGACCGCATCATCGTCAAAGACCTGGAGGACGACCTCTACGATGGGCAAGTCCTGCAAAAGCTGCTCGGTAATTGGGAGGACGCTTCGGCTCCACACCGCGCCCTGCACCGACGCAGCGACGCTCCCGGCAGGCGCCGAACGGCAGCGCCACGCTTGGGCGCGAGTTGAGCCATTTCGTTATTGCGAACAAGTGCGAGTCGCGTCCGTGTTCGCCGCTGCTTGCTTACGCGTGCGTGCATTACCCTCACGCCCCCCCCATGCCCCGCCACCGCGCGCCCCCTGTTTATACGCAGCCCTGCTCAGTGTAAAGAAATAACAAATCAAAGCGAAATGTTAACCACCTCACCTGGTGTTGCATGTTGGTCGTGGGTTCGATCCCGACTCTGACGACTGTTGTGTATTTGGAGTTTGCGTGTTCTCCCTGTGGTCACGTGGATTTTTCCCTGGGTCTGCCAGTATTTCGCTCCACGTTTAGAACCATGCATTTTGAGTATTTGGCAAATTCAAGAGCTGTATTTCAAGGCGGCGTGGCAGCGACAAAAACATTTCAATAAATGTCGAAAAATTATATTGTAAAATACATATTGTGTCAATAAATGTATATTGTAAAATACATATTTTGACACTGCAATAAAATGGTTAGTTAGTTATATAAGCCCCCTGCATATGCTAATATCATGGAATATAAATGCATAGAGGGATTGAAATATGTAAAATAAATATCTATTCAAATTACTCTGTTTTTTATGAACCGATGAGCAGTAATATTGATAATTCCATTTATTTTTCTGGGAAAAGCTTCACCAAGTTCAAATACTTTTATTTTGTCAGGAAACTCCTGCATTGAGATGTTTAGCCAATTCCTAAGTTATAATAAGCCGTAACTATTTCATACTGCATAGGTTTTCGCGGTTTTGCTGAAGCGCTATCCAACAATGTCCGACGTTTCGCCTCCACGTTCCGAGAGCTTCCCGCTTCAGTTGCTGAACAAGAACCTCCCTGCCCATGGAGCGAAACGTTGGACATCGCACTGAACAACACTCGGCGCGACCCTAAAAATGCACAGCAGAGCCACCGGGTCTCACTCGCACAGGTCACGCGGAAGAAGGGCCCGATCCCATCACACTTCGCTGTCGAGGCACGGATAGCACTTGGCATTTTGCCACGGTGGTGAAATGCCAAGCGCCACGCTGGCGAGATGTTGACTCCCTCGCCTGGTGTGCAAGAGGTCGTGGGTTCGATCCCAACTCTGACGCCTGTATATTTGGAGTTTGCTTGTCTCTCTCCCCGTGTTTGTGTGCATTTTTCTCCGAGTCCTCCGGTTTTCACCTCCAAATTTGCAAACGCGCGTTTAGAGTATTTGGCTGCAAAACATTTCCGCATGATGAGCCGCTTCGTTGAGCTATCATTTGTGATAGCCAGGTCGCGTCTGAAAAAATAGTTATATAGCCGAGTGGGCCTTGCCTGGTAAAATAGTACAAGAAACGTTTTTTTTAAGTGTTATAGTTTATTTCCCCGAAGGCAGCGCTTGTGAAGACCGGTCCTCGCGAGCCGTAGCTCCCTACCCCTTACGCTCCTCGTCCTAACGGCGCGTCTCCGCTCATCGCCGCAGAGGCCCTGGAGCACAGGAAGCTGAACGTGGCCGAGGTGACGCAGTGCGAGATCACGCAGAAGCAGAAGCTGCACACGGTGCTGCAGGCCGTCAACCAGACACTCAAGCCCCAGCAGTGGGGGGGCGTCAGGTGGTCTGTCGAGCGTACGTAGCGGCAACGAGCGTTGTCGTGTTTTTACTCTCCCCGGGCACTTCCCACCTCACCCACCTCCTTACCCGCCACGCACCCGGAGTCATTTGAGTTTTGTGAGAGAACAAACGGCAGATTCGCATTTTAATGAAATGACCGAAATAATAGCGTAACGTCACCCGACCGCAGCGGTGCGACGGTTAGCACGCTGGACTTTGCAGCCCACAGGTTTTAAGGTTCGATCTCCCAGCGTGGCAGCTGGAACAATGGGGGGAGTTTTTATTAAATCTGCCCACCTCTGTTCACCCAGCTGTATGAATGGTTACAATGCGGTTTGCGGTATCGGCAGCTCTCTTGCTGTGGGTAAAGTGTAGGTATTCCCACCTCTTCGAAGATGTCTCGCCAGTGTGTAGGAGTAGGCCAAATACATTCAATAGCTCTCTAAAGCTCATTGTAGTGTCCCTCTTGCCAGCAGTGGCACGAGCAAGCAATTCCAGGGCAGCACCTTTACCTGTCTTACTGTAAATCGCGTTGGCAACTTGCCCAATTCTTCTTTAGTAGTTGAGACGTGGCTATGTTTTCACCAAAATAAATTACAAAAAGGAACTAACTCATCAATATATGAAACGGACCCAATATTTGTTTTCTAATAATATTGATGCACAGTCGTATACATCAATTTGATGCTGGATGTAGTGTCAGTTACGGGGGATCGTTTGAGCATACTTCACCAGGCTGGTCGGTGCGGGTTGGTGAAGGTACGGACTGGAGGAGGGGTGGCAGAGGATCCAGGATCGGTTCAGATGTCACTCACCACTGATGTTAGCCGTGGCTGCGAATGAAACTCGGCTTGCCGGGTGCACATATGATTGGCACCTGTCCTACTTTTCCGAGGATAAGTCCTCCATGTGAGGCAGGTGTCCTAGGAAATATCTAAGTCTTTCAAGGACGTTACAAGTTCAGTTTTTTGTCAGTTGTGTGATAATGCACCACTCAACACAATTCAATTATTTATAGTTCTCCCTTCATCCGCTGTTGAGAGATATCCTTCTTGTCATATGGTCTCACTTTTGTTGTATCTCAGAGATCGGAAGCTGTGCTCTACCCCCCCCCCCCCCCGGCCCAATATATTGAGTGCAATAACATTAACCAACTAATTAAGTAAATAAAAATTCGCTCATATTCACATCGTGTTAATTCACACGCAAAACGCTGCGCGGGGTGCCCGTGGCTGATTTGTCCCGCAGTGATTCACTCGAAGCACGTGGTCGCTATCCTGCACCTGCTGGTCGCGCTCGCAATCCACTTCCGCGCCCCCATTCACCTGCCAGACCACGTGACGGTGCAGCTGGTCGTCGTCCAGGTGAGCGTCCCCCACAGGTATCCAGTGCTGATGGATGTGTACGTGTGGGAGGCTTCACATCTCTCACCCCCCCCCCCCCCCCCCCACGAAAGAAATGGGTACCGTACACACTACGGAACTTTGATGCTGCTGCGGGTGTCGCGGTGGCGAGATGTTAACTCCCTCGCCTGGTATGCAGGAGGTCTGCATGTTACTCCCCTGCGGTCGCATGGATTTTTCTCCGGGTCGTCTATTTCCCCCCCCCCCCCCAACATATTTATAAATATGCGTTTAGAATATTTGTCTGCTATAAATTTCCACGTGATAAGCCACTTCGTTCAGCTATCATTTGTGGCGACGTGGCTTCTGAAAAAAAAGCCATAAAGCTCAGTCGACCTTACCTGGTAAAATAAATTAAAAAAATAGTTTGAAGTTCATAATGGTTAGCAACACTGGGACACTCAGTCTAGAGATCGCCGGTTCAATCTGGCAGAGTGGCAGTTGAACGACACAATTGGGGCAAGTTTCTTAAACCCCCCCCAAACCCCACACTTCTGTCGACGAAGCAGTATAAAATGGGTAACGCCACCGTTATAGTCGATCGGCAGGCCAGCGTGTAGTGGGGTAAAATGTAGGTTCTGTACTTCTAAATTTTCGAAATCAGGCCAGCATGGAACAGAGAGGCCGAGTACCCTCTAAATGGGGCGGGCTCTCTTGCACTTCCACTAGTAGGGGCTCTTCCGCCAGCAGTAGTGTGAGCAGGGCTGCACTTTTAAAACGGCTTTTCATGGTCAACGCGAGAGCCAATTGCAATCAATTCCGCAAGCATTCTGAAGCCAAGCACTTGCATTCGGTTGTGGAGGCTACCACCCCTGGTAGGGAGTGTTGTGTATGAACTGTTCAATAACATGTTCAGTTAAATGAGCGTTTTCAACACCATTTACCCAAGGAACTTACAAACAATACAATTTTAATGCCCCTTATACCAACCAACATTTTAGAAGAATAATTTAAAATATATTTCTCAATTATGAAAATGTATGTGTTTAACCTGCTACTACTGTTATTATGAATACACTATATGCTTACTTGTTACAGAAACGTGGAGGGAAAGTGCTCGTGCAGAAATCCCAGGAGGTTATAACGACCACCATGGAGTAAGAGCACACACCTACACCATGACATCGCGACAATGATTATTTATCTAGGAGACGCCGAGACTCTCGTCAGGAGGATCCTGTCTTGGGACGTGTGACCAATTCAATTCATGAGCGTTTGGAATAAGGCGGGACGCCGTAGTGGCTGGAGAACATGTACACGTTACGAGCGAGTGACACTCAACGCGTGGTACAGATTGCAGAATCTGTTGGTGCACCGCCATCAGGTAGCCACCTCGCAGACCAAGCCTGGTATCCCAAGCAGTCTCTCATCCAGAATACTCGCCAGACACGAGCGTGCTTAGCCTCCGAGACCGCGACGAGATTAGGCGACGTGAACCGGTACGCAGGGCGCCAAGCGTGGGGGGTCACAGGTCGCGTAGCACGGGGGCTGACATTCAGCGGCGGCGGATGAACGGGTGCTGTTTGTACAGACTGGAGATATTGACTGTGGCTGTATATTCGGTGGTGAAAGCCTGCGGGAGGCTTGAGGTGCAGCGAGAAGGTGGGGGTCACGCAGACTCGCAGGCCAGCTTAGCTGTCGAGATGGGGCACATTCAGGGCAATGTGGCCGCAGGCAAAAGTTCGAAAGGTAAAGTGGCTCTTGCTATTTAATGTGAGGCAGTGTGCTACCCATTCACGGTCAACATTTTGAAATAATTGCAGTAAACAAAACCCATATTAGACAACACTTCAAAGTATGTTTTGCTTTCTTTTTGTGTATTTTTGGGGGGATATTTTTAATTGAGCCGCTAGCATCGATATGTTCATGTCCACCCCTTCGTCAGTCCGTAGAACACTGATAGAGTTTTCATGAAAACTACAAATCCCATGAGCCGACCGTTATGAAATGTATATGACACAGCTGACCAAGAGTAAACGTTTTTGGGCAAGATGTATGCAGAGTAAATGTATACCTGGGCCTCAATTCCAGCCAGTTCCAGCCAGGGCTGTCAGGGTCAGTGATGCAGAAAATATGCCCGCACCCTGCACACCACATCTTGTATACCAATCACTGTGGCCGTGGCTACTAGCCACGTGTTGCCTACTCCAGCCTGCTAGCGCCCAGAAAATATTAATATGTTAAAGTATTAAAATTATTTATGTGCACACAGACAAGAACATGGACTAGGAATCCCAGAACAACATTGAGGGTTGCTTAGTGGACTAGCGCGTCAGCTTGTATTTTAACGAGACGCAATCCAGCATAAATATTTAATTTAAAAAAAATCAATGCATTAACCAAGGGCCCAGTATTACACACTCGCAGCTTGTTGAACCTCTAAATGTAATCGAATTCATTTTGGTAACATTTACAACTTGTGCTTGCAGATCGATGGCCGGTCACTTTGGTAAGTGGCGCACAGAGAACCATTTGTCCGGCAACGCACGGCCGCCGCCACACCGCAATCTCGCAGCGCTTAATCCCCTTGGCGGTAACGTCGATTAATTTGTCTCCCGCCTAGAGCGCGACGCTTTCGATACCTTGTTCGACCACGCTCCGGACAAACTCAACGTCGTGAAAAAGGTAAAAAATAAATAAAAATCAGCCTCCTATAGGAACGGCTGAGATATAAATTGCTTGAAATATTACCGGTCGGTTTAAGACGGTGTGATGATGAACGTGGTGTGAAGTACGTGTGGTTAACGAAGGCTTGATTCCTTGCAAAAGGTTTATATTTGGTGTTTGAACATCTTAACACGTGCTGTTTCATTGTCAGAAAGGGTAAAACGTATTCTTATTTTTTCATACTTTGATACTGGCAAAAATGTCCCATTGTGTAGCTATTCACCCCGAGCTATAGATGCTCTGATAGTGGCATTGTCTTTGTACTCTTCACCTTTTGGCGTTCTCTGGTCTGACACCGGTGTTATAGTGCCAGAAAGGGTAAAACCTACTCTTGTTTTTTCACACGTTTCGTGAGTTGGGCAAGGTTGTACGACCTTAGCAGAAGAGACGATGGGAGAGAACTCTGACAATAACCATTTTAAGGGTTTTAGAACTCAGGAGTTCATATTTCAGTGTCTTGCAGATAATGTGTTGTGATTTAAATTGAGGATCTTAAGATAAATAGCAGAACATTCCTCTTACTTTATTGAAATCGTTCAGAAATATATTGTCTTTGCTGAATTAGAATAAGTGTCATCTTGTGACCATAATTAACATTAAGTTATCTTTCAGTCTCTCATCACCTTTGTGAACAAACATCTGAGCAAGCTGAACCTGGAGGTCACGGAACTAGAGACCCAGGTAAGGTCCTATTGCAATTACTATTACAGGTGTTACAGATGCTACTACAATGACTACTGTGAGTGTTCCAGGTGCTATTACATTGACTATTACAGGTGCTATTACAATGATTATTACAGGTGCTATTACATTGACTATTACAGGTGCTATTACATTGACTATTACAGGTGCAATTACATTGACTATTACAGGTGCTATTACATTGACTATTACAGGTGCTATTACGTTGACTATTACAGGTGCTATTACATTGACTATTACAAGTGCTATTACAATGATTATTACAGGGGTGGCCAAAGCTCCTGACCCTACAAGCAGCTACACCAAAATATGTGCAAGGCACGCATCTATCACGTGGGGTGATCACATGGGGTGGTCACGCGGCCAGTTCACTCAAGGTGGTGGCCAACTGATTAGCAAAGTTGCTACGTATCGTGCGAAAGAAGTTCAACATACATGCATACATTGAATGTAGAAATCTGCGGGATAAATCCCTGGGAGTACTCATGTCTGGCTCCGGTGCCACAGACGAGTGTCCCGGGCCGCTACTGCTTCTGCACATTTTTTTCTTATTTCCAACAAAGTTGTATTATAAAATTTATACATTACCTAAAACCGCACATGGACTGCCCAGGACCCTCTTATGGCTCACAAGCTGCGGTTTGACCACCCCTAGATATTTTGATATGACGTGTGATTGAAAAAGTCCGTGGCCTGGGATAAAAGGAGCGGCCATTATACAAGTACATCTACAGCCACAAGTTTAGTGCATTATTTATTTTGAATAAATATGATCTCAGGTAAGAAATATTACTTTAGGTAAAGAGAACAAACTTGACGGGTGATGGACATAATTAATTTTGGAGTGACTACTGATGAAACTGAACAAGAACAACTGAGGAAGGGAAGTAATGGGAGAATGTGTGGAAGGCTTTTGCCCACAGGTGGGGAGTTATAGGCTGACAACGACCTTCGCAGAGCTTTCCAGCAAAATAAAAAAACATGTTATTTGTTGTTACGACAACAAGGAGGATTAAATTAGATAAATTCCAAGCAAATCTGGAGGGAAACCCACATCACGCAGGATGTAGACCTTGATAACTTTCCAACTGTCTCCACAATGCAGGAATCACTTGGGCAGAGAGTAAATGTACCGGTCACACTAAAATGACGTGTGCAGCGGTTACACGTTTAGGGATTCAAACCTTGCAACGTATATGGAACCCAGTGCATCTCACTACAGCGTGGCCACGTAGAAAATAACGCGGGTTCACGGGGGTCATTCATTCATTGTGTTCGACACCACACACTATTCAGTTTGCCCCCTTGTATCCCTGCAGCGCGAAAGCCAAAGGTGCACCCAGACTGCGGTCGGTGTGGGGGCTATCCTCTTAAACTTTGTTGCCATTGTCGTTGCCCACGCAGTTTGCGGATGGCGTGTACCTGGTGCTGCTCATGGGCCTGGTTGAAGGTTACTTTGTACCCCTTTACAACTTCTTCCTCACCCCAGACGGCTTTGAGCAGAAGGTGAGAATGTGATACCTTTGGGCCCATTCCGTATCATCGTGGTGTTTATTTACAGCATTGATGATGATCAAAAATTACAATTGTACTTGCATATATACTGCGACCATTACGTGGCCAAATGGTACAACATTTGTCACTTGTTGAAGATCTTCACGGTTCAAATTCAGCAGCCTCTCTCATTATTACCGCGGTGTTTAATAACCGCAATGCTACGCACCCCCTTTGCTTCACAGTGGACATTAAAGATACCCTTGATGTCATCCGCAAAAGTAGGCCATTGTGTGCCGGCTATAGGGTACAAATTTGCCAACTCCCAAAATTACACGCAAATTGCTCAATGGGGATTATACACAGTGCACATCGCCCCCTGCTGGCAGGCAAGTGTCCCGGGTCGCTCTTGCAAATGTAACTATTACCATCTCTGGAAGTTCCCACCCGGTTACACAAAAGTGCCCAGCATGTAACGAGACGTCCCAGAGCGCGGATCTTTAGCCTAGGGGACCCCTAAGAGCACCTCGTCCCTGATGGGAACATTCAGATGAGCGATTTATGGTTGCATCTCTATGCTTGTGGCTAAACGCTGAGAATAACGTAACACGTAGATTATAACAGCCAATAGGATTCACGATTGATTCCTGTTAGACCCAACAAAACAAAATAATTATACATCAAAGATGAACGGTTTGCAAATTATAAAAATATTGCTAATACCTGGAGAAAAAAACCTAAAGTCACAAAAAACCCAAAAGCCCAGCAGATAACACCCAACAACTTTCAATTCCTGCTTATCCCACAACCCACTGCCTACATTAATTAAGTAACCTAATAACGAAAGCCAATAGTCCTTACCGATCAATTCTGCTTTTCGGCAATGCCCCAACGTAACCTAACACTCACTTTGAGAGTGACCCTTCAACAAGCGGCAGGAAGTGCAACGAAATATTTAATGATTAATGCAAACCGGGAAGCCTTATTGAGTTTCAGTTCCTGTCTTGCTTTAAATCGTGCCGTACGATTTCCCTTGACAGCAGCTTCCTCGACAAGCGGACGATGATCCTGGGATAGAGGAGGGGTAGAGGAGGGGGGGGGTAGAGGAGGGGGGTTTAGGGGGGATAGAGGGGGGTAGAGGAAGGGGGGTGGAGGGGGGTAGAGGAGGGGGGGTAGAGGAGGGGGGTTTAGGGGGGATAGAGGGGGGTAGAGGAGGGGGGGTGGGTAGAGGAGGGGGGTTTAGGGGGGATGGAGGAGGGGTAGAGGAGGGGGGGTAGAGGAGGGGGGGGTGGGTAGAGGAGGGGGGGTAGAGGAGGGGGGTAGAGGAGGGGGGTAGAGGAGGAGGGGGGGTAGAGGAGGGGGGGTAGAGGAGGGGGGGTAGAGGAGGGGGTAGAGGAGGGGGGTAGAGGAGGGGGGGTAGAGGAGGGGGGTAGAGGAGGGGTAGAGGGAGGTAGAGGAGAGTAGAGGAGGGGGGGTAGAGGCGGGGGGGGGTAGAGGAGGGGAGGTAGAGGAGGGGGGCAGGTAGAGGAACCCACGTGGCTGATGCCTAACGACTGCCTGGCGGCTGACCTCTGCACAGGTGCACAATGTCTCCTTCTCCTTCGAGCTGATGCAAGACGGGGGACTGTGTAGGCCCAAGGCTCGACCAGAAGGTAACAACTTTCACCACACACACAAACACACAAACACACAAAGATCCACCTCTCTATTCTTGCGTCTTTCGGTAAAGTCACGTAGAAGGGAAACAATAAAATAATAAATCAAAATAGAATCCTCCTCTGTTTCAAAGAATAAATTTGACCTCAGGTCTTCGCTCATTTACCAGCTTCACATTCCCTATTGCCGTACAAAAACTGGAGGAAGGGCCTTTGCTATTGATGCCCCCAGGGTCTGGAATGCTATTGCCAATCAACTGCAACTTGAATCGCTACCAATGAGATCTTCTCTCAAAACTGCTCTAGAGGAGTTGTACACCCCTAGCTGCCACTGCTATTCATTGGCGTAAAATAAAATAAAATGTTTCGCTCCGGATGACGCTGCAAAGTATTATCTGTATTTTGATTTAGCGTGCTGATCTTAAAGGTGCATTGAAAAATGTGATACTCCGACTGATGCCTCAGTAACTCATGCAGCCAGCTATGACTCTAGGATTTGGTGTTACATGTTATTTATGTAGTTTATTATAAAAAGTTTTTGGTTTGGACATGTTTGTTTTGTTGTAGTACGGTGTTAGACTGATGCCCTTAATCTAAGTTTTCTTGTGGCTGTTGTTGTTGTTTGACTTGCATCCCACTGGGATTTTTTTAGCACACAGCGTTGGTGTAAGGTGCTTTCTTCAGGAATGTTTTGCTGTTTTTTTCTTGGATTTTCTGTTTGCACAGTCACATAGTCACTTTATGATGTTTTCTTGTTCGTGTTTTTGTTTTTTTGTTTGTTGTGGTTGCACCCGATTCAAGAGCCGGATGCCTCACAGGGCTATACCAAAATAAATAAACTGAAAACTGCGTAGCCTTAGGGGCCGTCCATAAATGACGTCACGCACCTAGGGGGGTGTTAGACATTTGTGACGATGTGTGACGAGGGGGGGGGGGGGGTTTGAGAAATGTGACGTCACATCAAAATGCGCAACTTTAAATAAATATAGACAACACGTGCTACTTAATTAAATATACGTTTTTTTAACAAATGTTTTCTCCTACAACATCAGAGTGCAGCGTCACATTAAATACGCACTACAATGACAATAGTTTAAAGCGATTTGAAGCGTGTTTTATTTGGGGGGGGGGGCAGAGCTTTGTGACGTCATATTTGAGGGGGGGGATCTAACTTTTTGTGACGCCGTGTGACGAGGTGGGGGGGGGTCAAAAATCGTCCAAAATCGCTTGACGTCATATATGGACGGCCCCATAACAGACTGTTGGGGCAAGTGCTGTTCGCGAGCAGCACCTATGAAGGTCGCCACTGTGGCTCGCGAGGGGGTAGGGTGGCCAGCACCGCCTCTGTTTCCCCAGTGGCGATGTTTTTACGCACCGCACCGTTTTGATCATTTGAGGTCGAGTCGACCTAGGCGAGGCCCAGGAATCGGTGCAGTCAATCGTCACGGGTGTTGGCCGTGAGCGGGAATCGAACTCGGGTCGCCGCGTTCGTAGCGCAGCGTAGCGCTAACCGCTACACGACCGCTCCCCTGCGTTGTAGGTACGGCATCGCATAGACGACTCGCTGTGTTCACCGTGGGTATAGGCGGATGTGTGAGCTGCAGTAGTGGGGATCTGAGCGTGGGGCGATGGGAAGCGATTGCACGACCCCCCTCCCCCCACACACACCCCTTTTTTATTATTGGGTGCAATGGTGAACAATAGCCATATCAGACATAAGTACACCCAATCGGCGTAATCATTGGTTCACTGCCGCTCAAAGACTCGGTCTCTACGAGGCGTGCGGTGACGTTAGGAGATGTCCGTGTGTGCACGCTCCGGGGGGGCATTTGAAGGCCGAGAGGCCAGAATCGGTGATTTCGCCGACAATGTGTTCATCAGGGAGGCCGTTTACATATCCGGACAGCAGTCAAAGGGAGGGAAGCGTCTGGCCAGGAAACAATCTTCCGGCAACTGGGTGGTGGAGCAAGGGCATGGCTTGGCAGCATTCCCCCACTTTTAGCATTCATAAAGTTGGGGGGTGGGGGGGGGGGATTTACCAGATAAAATATATTCATTTTAATGTAGGGCCATATTTACTAAGTTTGAAATATTGGGACTGCTCCTGTCCCACCCCCTCTTCCTTGGTGAAGGTTTTAGATCTGCCTCCGGTGAACAAGGTCGGATAAGTGTGAACGTCAATGATAATGACAATGAAACCGTGCACTCACAGGTGATTGGAGCAACAATGAAGAACAAACTCCTTTAAACGGGGTGGGTGAGGCAGGGCCAGTGGGAGGTGGGGGGGCATGCTTGACTGTGCTTTACAAAATACGCGATTGTTTGTGAAATTAAGATGGCAATGCTCTTCTGTGAAATTATCAGATTTGTGAGCATCTACAGAGGTGACCACTTGGCTCAAATACCACACTGGGTGTGGGCGGTTAATCGGTGAGGACGACCATGTTGCCGATGAAATATGCAACCATGTACTGCGATTAAACTCGGCTTTCAAGTGTGCGCGGAGGGTCACCTGTGACGTAATGTTCGTGAGGCTTTTCCCATAATTGGATTGGGTACACCACACGTCAAAAAGGTTACAACTCCAAAGTCTGAACGTGGCAGTTTTTTTTTCTTTCTATCATCGCGTTCACAGACGACTCTGGAGTAGAATTCGATTAAAGAAAGCGTTTCTTATTTGTGTGCATTTCCCTTGGGCGCATCAGTAAATTCTGTTATCGACAACTTTGTGTTCACAGTTCCTGTGCCCTCTGCGAAACTCACCCGTGTGTGGAAAAACATGCGCATAATTGCCCAAATTGACCTGTGGTACGCACAATGCAGACACAATAAAACGCCTCGAAGCAACATTCAAGTAATATGGGATTTTGGGGTGAGCCAGAACAGCGACCCAACAATTATAAATAATGGGGGTGGGGGGGGGGGAAGTAAAAATAACATGTAAACATGTGCAGATATTATAACCTTTGACCTGTGCTGAACTCATTGCAGAGATTGTAACCTCTGACCTGTGTTGAACTCATTGCAGATATTGTAACCTCTGACCTGTGTTGAACTCATTGCAGAGATTGTAAACTCTGACCTGTGTTGAACTCATTGCAGATATTGTAAACTCTGACCTGTGTTGAACTCATTGTAGATATTATAACCTTTGACCTGTGTTGAACTCATTGCAGATATTGTAACCTCTGACCTGTGTTGAACTCATTGCAGATATTGTAAACTCTGACCTGTTTTGAACTCATTGCAGATATTGTAACCTCTGACCTGTGTTGAACTCATTGCAGATATTGTAAACTCTGACCTGTGTTGAACTCATTGTAGATATTATAACCTTTGACCTGTGTTGAACTCATTGCAGATATTGTAAACTTTGACCTGAAGTCCACACTGAGGGTTCTGTACAATCTCTTCACCAAGTACAAGCACCTAGAATGAAGGCATCCGTTTATCAGTTATATCTGTGACCAGGTAAGAAATGAAGGATGCATGTGTACTGTATATCAGGTAAATATTTTATAAGCGAAACCGAAAATTGCACCCAGCACCTCAGGCAATTAATGCAGCCTGCTCATTTTTTGGGAATGTTCGTGACAACAACAACAATAAATTACAGCCCTTTGCCAATCGTCAATTCACTGCTGGATGATTTCCTCCCCGTGATGTGTCATTTGTTGTGGGCGTTGATTGAACACACAGCACCACGCTGGTCAGACCGGATTGGAGACGCCGTGCAGGCCCCAGCACCGACTAAGATATCACGTGCCACTGATGTCAGCCATGGAGAGGACTTGAACTCAGGAAGCCGGTTTCAGTGCACACTGCGCTAACAACTGCGCGCCATCACTCCCCCTAATTCAGGATTAAATGCGCAAATATCGTATTTCTAAAAATATATATTTTGTGTGTGTACATAAAATATAGAATAAAACTAGTTTCTATTTTCTTGGTTCTTTCGGTAAAGCCACGTAGAAGGGAAACAATAAAATGAAAGGGAAACAATAAAATAATAAAAATGTAAAACAATAAAATTCTCACGACGTTTCGACTCAGTCGACTCAGTCGAAACGTCGTCAGTCGAAACGTCGTGAGAATTTTATTGTTTTTTTATTTTATTGTTTCCCTTCTATGTGACTTTACCGAAAGAACCAAGAATATGAATCCCTGCAGTCACGAAAGCTTTAAATCAAAATGTAGTTTCAATTTATTGCATTTCTCAAAACGGGATGCAAACAAATCGGAATCATTTGCACATTGAACCTTACAGACTCTGCCACGACCCTGAGGAAAGATTCAACAACACACAGAGGCGTGCTGCTCGCAAGCAGCTGGAAGTCACAACTCTCATCATGCATTGCATGCAAGTCGTGTGACAACCACATTGGATGCGAATTGTACAACACGCTAAGCCTTGCCTAAACCACCGGCTCGATGGAGCCTAGCATGTGGCCTCTATTATTGTTTAGGCCAGTAGCTTAAGAATAGTTGAACATGTGGTCATCCCAGGCAAACCTCTGTGTGTTGGTAAATCTACTTGTTTCGAACATGAGACACATTTTACTGGCGTGATGGATGTTCTCACCATCCACAGAAAGCGTTGGATTTGAACTTGTACATTCACTTGCCGGTAACATTATGATGACAGTTTTACAAAGCGTTTGTGTGGAAGAGAGTCTATCTCGTCATCCCATCCACTTTATCATGGAAAATTATCCTTCAGCTTCCTCCATACATGTGCAATGCTCGGATTTACCCATCTGATAATCCATTTGGCCACAATACTTAACCTGCTTCCGTTCCTCTCTTAAAACCCATCTTTTCTCCAAAGCACATCCTACCGTTACTCCCTCCCCAACCCCCCAGCTACAACCAGGCCTAGCCAAATCATTACCCCAGCCCCTATCACTACCCCAACCCCTATCACTACCCCAACTCCTATCACTACCCCAACCCCTATCACTACCCCAACCCCTATCACTACCCCAACCCCTATCACTACCCCAACACCTATCACTACCCCAACCCCTAATACTACCCCAAACCCTATCACTACCCCTATCACTACCCCAATCCCTATCACTGCCCCAACCCCTATCACTACGCCAACCCCTATCACTACCCCAACCCCTATCACTACCCCAACCCCTATCACTACCCCAACCCCTATCACTACCCCAACCACGATCACTACCCCAACCCCTATCACTACCCCAACCCCTAATACTACCCCAAACCCTATCACTACCCCTATCACTACCCCAATCCCTATCACTGCCCCAACCCCTATCACTACCCCAATCCCTATCACTACCCCAACCCCTATCACTACCCCAACTCCTATCACTACCCCAACCCCTATCACTACCCCAACCCCTATCACTACCCCAACCACTCCCACCTGTGCTCCTGTCACCATGACTACACCACCATTTTTAATAACCCACTCTTTATCTCAACCACTCTCATCGTATGTGCAATTTTATGATTGTTGTCAAGCGCTTTGGGAAAGGGCGCTATTTATATCTATATAAGATAAGATAACTCTCTCATGCATGACTCATTAAAACCAAAATGTTTGCATTTTTTGTTGAAAGTGAATTTAAGAGTCAAATTAACGCCACAGATGTGTTGAAAACGTTTAATATAATTGCATAGCATTCCTAGTCCACCACAATGAACATGATGCATGAGAGGGTCAACCCCTTAAACGTCTATGTATGCCCACCGTGCGCGGTGACTCGTTCGCCGCTCGTTGCAGAGGTTCACGGTTCAAATCTAGCGGCAGCCCTGCGGTGCCGCGGTGGCGAGATGTTAACAACCTCGCCTGGTATACAGCAGGTCATGGGTTCGATACCGACCCGAACGATGCCTGCATATTTGGAGTTTGCACGCTCTCCCCATGGTCACGTGGATTTTTCTCCGGGTCCTCCGGTTTCTCTCTCCACGTTTATTAACGTGCGCTTAAGAGCATTTGGCTGCTATACATTTCCACACGATGATAACCCACTTCGTTGAGCTATCATTTGTGGCCAGGTTGCTTCTGAAAAAATGAGCTAAATAGTTGAGTTGAGCCTTATCTAGTAAAAATAAAAAGTGTATTCACCGCAAAAATACCATGCGCCGTTTGTTTCACGGTTGACTATTATAATGCTGCTGTGATGCCATTGTGTGCCAGCGCCATGAGACAGTTTTGCCAAATTTCACAAATAACCTTTAAATGACCTAATTGAAATGTAACTTGGCAGGACCCTTCTAAAAAAATCACGGTTACTCAAGTGTAATAATAATGATGATGATGCTGCTGCTGTAATCAGATAGAAATTTGAGAGTCCCCTGATGTTCACCAGCATCGCTTTTGTGATTGTTTTTATGGAATGCTTCATTCGTGAAATGTTAATGATCACCCAAGATTGTGGGTAAAAAAAAGTTAATTGCACAAGATAAATATTGCCATAATTTCGCGAGTAGAATTCTACAACTGATTATACTTTCGCGGATGCCTTATACAGTGTTCTCTTAATTTCTATCTACTATATTTAACATAAAAATGCATAGAAAGGTTGACCTGGCATTAAATGATGTAATTTTACAAACAGATGAACCTTCCACTGGACCTGACATAACATTAAAATCTATATGATGACAATATCGTCATACTACCAAGTTTGTGTGTGTTTTTTTATATTATCGACCTTGTTTCATTACTAATGGACTATAACTTAACGGACACCCTGTACATTGCTGGATATTTTTTTAAATATCTAAATATCATAAAGGGTAAAGGTGCAGCCCTGAAATTTCTCGCTCGTGTCACTGCTGGCAGAAGGGTCTCCATCGAGGGAGCTTGAGCTAGTCACTCTAGAGGGTATTTTACTTGACCTTTTCTTCCAAGCTTACCAGGTGCCTTGGAAGAGGAGGTGGGAATACCCCATATTTCACCACATCACACCTGACCTGCCTTCATCGATTAACTGTGGTGTACCGATACAGGGACTCATCTACTTACGAACGAGTTAGGTTCCAGAGGTCTGTTGGTAAGTCGATTTGTTCGTAAGTCCAACTTTAATTCTGTCGATTCTAAATATGTTGTACAGCATGTACAATAAACACGGGGAATCACTTTAAAAGTTGCATAATCTCCTGTAGATGTAGATGCCACTGGTTCTTCATGTTCTGCAGATGTAGATGCCACCACCCCCATCTATTGCATGGCCGTTGAACTTACGACTCTCGGTCCAAACAGCCAACTGGTGTGGACATACGGACAGGTTTGTTCGTAACTCTGAAAGTTCGTAAGTCGAGTGTTCGTAAGTAGAGGAGTCCCTTATAGACTTCTGTGTGAACACAGGTGGGTGGATTTATGCAGTGAGCCCAATTCCCCCCCCCCCCCCTTAATTTGGGGCCCTGTCGCCGCCGAACTCGGGGGCCACCGCGGAACTTTTTGTCCCCCCGCCCCGCCCTTCCGTTCGGCGATCGGCGCTTTGTGTCAGGCTCGCGTTGAGTTGTAATAGAAAGAACAATAAAAAAAACTTACACCATTGTGTCATCTGCGGCACTGGGATATTGAAGCGACGACTTCCAGATTTTAAGTCCGGTGTGCTGATGATTACACCACAGCAGTGCCCCATTCTAAAACCCATGACGTGTGCCGTTTCGTTAAACACGCAGTGTGTCCGAAACGCATCAATTTGGCAATTTCCCCGCATTGTTCATGATAGGGATGGATATTGGCAGACTCTTCGAACAAGCTCCAGTCGACAAAGGAACATTTGCCAACAAGTGAACGGTGCCATGATTTATTTAATGTGAGGATTAAACCCCAAAGCTGTGATGATGTTAACAATGTATCAGGCCACTCGGTGGTAGCACGAGAGGCTAGAAACACATAGAATTTGACGGCCACGTTTTCTCAACCCTGCGAGTGGGTGGGCCCTCAATGACAAAGTGGCCACAAATTCAGTTATTTTGAGCTGGTGGTCTGGATAAGCCTGAAAATTGTGTGCATGCAATGCTGTGTTGTTAACTCTATAGAGTGAGAGGCTTATATTCGGAATTTTGCAAATTCAAATCCTGGTCGTGAGTTCAATTAGCCCACTATCCTTCTGGTGTTGATAAAAAAATAAGTGGTAATTTGTGGGCGAGTCATCAGTGCTTGTTCTATGGGTGGATTCCCACGCCCGCCAACTCACCGCGCCCAGCCCCCCCAAAGGAGTGTGGAATTTACACCACTGGCTCACCCAAGTCAAGAGCCGCATGGCTCACAGGGTTATACCTAATAAATGAAACTGAAACTGAACCAACTGAGCGGGAAATCAGTTTGAATAAGTTATAATTTTGGCAGGTGATTAAAATCCTCTTCGTTGATCGAGCCAAAGAGTGTAAAACACGGGTGGCGAGAGTACAACCTGTCCTTCCAAGATGTTAAAAACACATTTCATCTTTCAACGATGCCTCGCAAATTGCATCTCCTTCGTTAAACCTCACAACTTTGCACACTGCCATAATACTGTTTGTGTTTATGCAAGGTTTCAATAAATGTGATATTTTTTCAAGGAGATGAAGTGCATGGTAACCAATGGGGATTCATTTTACAACATTCACAGTCTGAGATAGACGATGCCATGTTTGCTCGTTGTCTTACCATTTAGAATGCATTGTGAAGGTATCCCTCGATTTACGAGCATTCGGTTGACAAAATGTCGCGTTGTAGCGCACTTGACAAATTATGGACACTGTAACGTCACACCTATGCCAATATGAGCCTGCGCATTAAAGAGTTTCCACCTTTGAGCTCAAAATAAAAAAACAAACCCGGACGTATCACGGGAAGATGAAAGTCTCGTAGTGCCGGTAGTCGGAAGAGCGACCGTGGTGGATTAATTAGGGGTCATTGTGCAGCTGACAAAACTTGGACTTTTAATGTCGCCTGGAAGACTAACAGATTTCCTGGAAGACTCAGATTTCCTGGAAGACTCACAGATTTCCTGGAAGACTCACAGATTTCCTG